ATCTAATTTAATTTGCGAAAAAGCTTTAGATGAATCAATTGCACTAATAAACTTAGCTCCTCTAAGGTTATCTAAAATATAAGAAGTATAAGGAAGAGGATAAGAATCTTTAACAGTTACTGAATTTAATTTTCTTGAATCTAAACAAAGTCTAATGCCTCCATCCTTCTTAGGAACAGTTAAAACAGGGGAACTCCAAGGAGACTTCGAAGGTTGTATTATTCCCTCCCTTAACATCAATTCAACTTCGTTATAAACCTCTCTCTGCTTAGCAGGACTCAAAGGGTAATAACGTTGTTTAATAGGATCGCCAATGGTAACTATTTTATGTTCAGTTAAATGAGTAAGGCCTAAACCATTCTTTTCATAAGAAATATCTTTAAATAATTCAACAACTTTATTTAATTGTTCACTCTCAGAAGGAGACAAGTTAGCAGCAGATGTAACAGAACAAACGTTAACATCTCTTTCATCAACAAAAGCAATATGTTTAAATAAATCTTTAGCTAAATCGAATTTTAACCAGAAATCAAAACCTAGAATTATATTTGGTTCAAATGAAGGTATAACCATAAATGAAATAATTTTAGTATCTCCATCACAAGTCACAGGTAAGTCCATACTTCCAATAATATTTTGTGAAGATCCGTCAACAGTATGAGCGGTTCTATAAATTGTTTTAAGTTTATATCCTAATTCTAAAAATTGTAAGTGACTGTTAGCACCTAATACGCAACAGTTGGCACCACTATCCAAAATTCCAGTAAAAGTACTATTTCCAACATTAAATTTAAGGTAAGGTCTATTATCTCTATTTTTAACAAAAAGTACTGGAGCTACTTTAATATTTCTAAAAAATACTTTTAAATAATCTAACCAATCATTAAATTCTACAAGTCTTCTTTTCTACAAGTTGATTTATCAGGAACATGACTATTTTCCATCGAGACTCTTCTCGCTTCATCATGAAGTGGAGCTCGATGAGGCCTAATCAGTTTTTTGGAACCGGTTCAGAAAGTTTAATTTTGGTTGCTAAAGGTTCACTGGTATCTACTTTTTATTTTTGCAGTCACATGTGTGAATAGTCACTCCATGCCTACAACAATTGAAACAAATTGGACCAACAATGCTTAAACATTTTTTGTAAGTGTGTCCAAAATTTTTACATTTTAAACAAATTAATTTTTAATCAGTTTTAGAATCTACAAAATGAACTTTAGGAGAAGATGCACGCGAAACAGATTGAACAGAAGAGCTATCCGAAACAAGTTCTTTAATTTCTTTATCTAATATAAAAATTTGGTCAATAGAACTAATGTTCCTGCCAAAAAAATATACGGCGTGAGAACGCAACATATTACGCCTAATAATTTTAATTAAGGTTTCTTCCGAAAGTGGATCCGAAAGACGCAAAGACATATCCTGCAACTCGATGATAAAATCTGACAAAGTTTCAGTAGGTTTTTGTTTACGAGAACGCAAAAGATATTCAAGCCGATCATCATAATCAGGTTTGTCAAAATGTTTAATTTATGCAACCTTAAGGGTATACCAAGAATTAAGATTTGAACGAACAATACGAAACCATGTCCTAGCAATACCAGTTAAAAAATCTGAAAAGGAAGTAACAACAAAATATTCATCGATATCTCTGGAAACCATATACTCTTCAACACTAGTAATAAATTCTCTAACACAAGACTTACCGTCAAAAATTATCTTACTCTTCGAAAGATCAGGACGTTTGTAATATGTAGGTTTTTTAAAGTTATCCAAAAGTGAAGTATTATTTTGTAACAAATTAGTGCTAACATGTGAAGCATGTGTGGTCGTCGGTTGTAAAGCAGGTTGTGAATCGAGCAATCGTGATGAATGAAAATTATGACCATCCAAAGTGGGTTGATCAATTGTTAAATTAATTAATTCATGTGCAATGTGCTGTGTAGCAGGTGGATAAGCTAAATCACTAGTATCAGTTGCAACAGAAACAGGTTGCTCCTTAGGCGGCAAGGCAGCAGATAATGCAAGTTTGTCACCTTCCATTTTTGCAAAATGCCAAAATAGCAGTGAAATTATAAACGCAGTTAACGCAAAGTAAATGTAAAGTTAAATCTTTTAAAAGATAAAGCAAGATGCAGCAAGTTTACAATTGGTGAAAGATATTTAAATCTTAAGTTATGTTATGTAACCAAATTAAATTATTCAAATTGTTAATATAAAAACATATTAACTTTAACTGAAATAAGTTTGTGACAAAATGTCAAAATATCTAAGTTACAACAACATCAAAAGTTATTTCATAATATTATTATGACTAAGTTTATTATTATTATTATATAAACAATGCTTCATTAAGTCATGAAAGTATTTCAAAATATTTAGTTTAATTTTTTCAAAGAATGTTAAATTATTTTAAGTTTATGTTATTATTTATAAAAGTTACTTTATTGTTTATGTTTTATTTAAACAATGTATTTACTAGCTCAAACAAGTTGTGGAACATCTATATTTATCATTAAGAAACTTGTATGAATTTCAAATAATGTTCACAAAACATTTTAAAAATTATCAAAATGTTCGAACAAAAGTCCTAATTTTTTATAAATATAGCAAAAATCTTTGTAAATTTGCATATTCAAATGTAAATAACAAAACAATAACACAATGATCATAGTTAACAAGGTAATAAAAGTTTAAGTTATATGCAATATGCATCAATTGGTAGAAACCAAATAATTGTAAACGAATTGAAGTAAATTCTAAGAAATTTGCATGTGCAAAATACTAAATTAACATACAAAAGTAGTTAATATTATGTGATGCATCACTACAGACGTATATAAAACATTTCAAATATGAAATAAAGTTCAAAACAAGTAGTTTAAATGAAAAGTTAATATTAACACGAACCATCCAAAACATTAAGTTAAATTGTAATAATATTACAAACAAAATCTATGTTTATGTATCAAAATTCAAGTACAAAAGTTATATTATATCACAAATGTAATAATAAAGATTACAAACAACCAGACAAGACTACTATTATAGGTACAAAATGAGATGGATTGCATAAACCAAGTCCCTGTGCGCTGGCGTCAATTGTAATATTAAAAAATAAGTTTTTGAAATGGACAGGCCGAAATCAATTAAAAAATAATATTCGGGCGCCTGGACTGTACCATTTTATAAGCCGGGAGAGCATAGGAATATTAATCGCAAAGGGGGCTTAATGCAAATCCATATTCATTTTGGGTTGTCTATATATTGAAATTTTAAGTCCAAAAGGGTTAAATCTAAATTTAGAAACTATTATATACTGTGATGCTACTAAGAATTAAATGAAAATTTACCTTATTATTAGAATGTTACCGACCTCGCTGCATCTGATCTGGGTAGTATATGTCTGGTGCTGTAAATATGTAGGGGATGGCCGTTTTTAGATCCCGTGGGTTCACCTCTACCTCATGGGAAATGAATGAAATTTGAATAAAATATCCAAATGAAAAATCCAAATAAAAAAAAACGCTTTTCGCTGAAAACGAACATTCCTCAGATTAGCACATGGCTCACAACAAAGGAAAAAATGTAAATCTAAGGAAAGCACTAAGGTTCTTACCGTTTTACTAACAAATTAAGCTTGAGGTATGGCCATCGCCATTTTGTACGAATGATGCAAAATGTTTCATCTGAAAACAAAATTAATCCTCATGTAAATCATTGAAATATATGAATTAAAACACTTTTCGAATTTGGAAAAACACTTACCATTAAAAACAATCAATAATATAAGGGATTATCAATTAAAAAAATTGGAATACGAAATGACCATCCTTTGGTCAAAAAATTACGTCGTGAAGTGAAGTGACAGTGTTTTTTCTTAAGTTTGTTTTCTCTTGCCGGTAGGCAAAGAGAACAACGTCCATCCAGCCTACTGCTTGATAAAGTTAGCAACATAATTATTCAAAAGTGCACAGATTACAGAAAATGGGCGCGAGATAAAAACAACCAGAGAGACAACCAAAAAAAATCTTCTATCTCGCTCTTCGAGCGAAGGAGATCCATGTGACGTTTTTAACACGTTACAACTACTGAACTTGTTTTTTTCTTTTCAGTTTTTAATTGAAGTAATATTTAAGCAGTCGGGTTTTTGATTTTTTATTAAATAGATGATTATTAATATTATTATTAATAATCATTTTAATATCAAATTTATCTCACATTATGAGATAACTGTGCCAATAATTTTACAAGCAATTTTATGACAGAAAAATATCATTACTTTCATTGGTTTTGTCATATAAAATAAACGGGGGTTTTTTTATTGGGGAAAACAAAAACCCATCAAAAACATAACTTGTAAAAAAAACAAGTCTCCCAACTCAGTTCTACTTCTTCTACCATCAAAAGTTGTGAGATCCATGTTATGCCAAGTCAGTTAATTTATTCAGTCCCTACTTAAGGAACCTTCTGTCTTATTACGAAATTAGCTCACCTAACAACATCTTATACTGACTAAGACTATCAATATTAAAAATCTTGTATATTTTAATTAAATAAATTGACTTGGCAATTGCATGAATACACAATGTATCTCACTTAATTATTAGATTGTTGAGTTCTAAATGAGAGTTCGAATCCTAGTGGGGGGCAGATGTTAGTGTGATGAATATGAGCATTTATACTCCAGTCATAGATGTTTAATGTGGATTTTCTATATAAATATGCTTATATATGTATCAGCATATATATTCTGTCCATTGCCCTACTAACCTATAACACAAGCCTACAGTGCTTACATAGGGGCTAGGCTAATTGGTGTGAGTGTTGGAAATATTAATTTATTTTTTATATACACTCAACAGGTAAAGTTAACCAAACCTATCAAATATCTCTAACGAACTTAGTTTTATTTTTAATGGATGTAATGTTAATAATAGTAATAGTAAATAGTATTTGTAACTAACTGAACATCGTTAATTTTAATATATTATTATCAGATCGGTCTCGAAGAACGCGCTTCTGAAGCAACTGAATTAATGACCAGAATGTACGATTTATTCCTCAAGAAAGATGCGCTTTTAATTGAAGTTAACCCCTATGCTGAAGATGCTATTACTGGAAAATGTAAGTTCTTGTTTTATTTCAGTTGGTTTTGTTATTGAGTATTTTTTTTTTAAATTCAAAGGACAGGATATGGTGTGATCTTTTGGGGCTCTAAAACCCGCTTGAAGAACTATCGACCTATCTCGCTCTTGAGCCACGTCTTTAAGTTGTTTTCGAGAGTAATTACAAATCGACTTTCGCGCAGGTTCGACGACTTCCAGCCTCCCGAACCAGCCGGTTTTCGAAAGGGCTTTAGTACCATGGACCACATACATACGCTGCGTCAGATCATACAGAAGACCGAGGAGTATAATCGGCCTCTGTGTCTAGCGTATGTGGACTATGAGAAGGCCTTCGATTCGGTCGAGACGTCGAGACTTGGGCGGTGCTGCAGTCCCTCCAGCGGTGCCAAATTGACTATCGATATATCGAAGTGTTGAAGTGTTTATATAGAAACGCCACTATGTCAGTCCGAATCCAGGAGAGAAGTACGAAACCGATTCCATTGCAGAAGGGTGTCAGACAGGGGGACGTGATTTCCCCGAAACTGTTCACCGCTGCATTGGAAGACGTCTTCAAGCTTCTGGATTGGACCGGACTCGGCATCAACATCAACGGCGAATACATCTCTCACCTTCGATTTGCAGACGACATCGTGGTTATGGCAGAATCCCTGGATAGTCCAGTCGGAATAGCCATAATTTGGACCGACTTCTATTCTAAGACACCAGCGCTTAGCCAATTTTTTGCTAGGTAGTATAGACCCCCACGAATATGCCCTCCATTTGTCCCCGCTAGAACCCGTGTTTTGTAGCCAGGAAAATTGTTTAAACAAAGAAAAACCGGTTTTTTTGAGTTTTTTTGCTTGTAAACGGGGATTTTGAAAATTTTTTTGAATCAAAGTTGTTCATTAACTTGCCCTCTACAAAATCAGTTCTATGAAAAAATAACGTGAGATTGTTAGTTTAGCAGTAAATTGCAATTATGTCGGTTTTACGTTTGCAACAATTCAACATGTTATAATAAACATTTTGATTTCTAAAGTAGTTTATCATGTGGGTAACGCCACTCCCAAGAGAGTCATGTAAAATTTATCGACCTGTGTCGCAAACTTTAGCAACAATTCTCAATCTCCGAAAAAAATCGTTTCACGTTATTTTTTCATAGAACTGATTTTGTAGAGGGCAAGCTAATGAACAACTTTGATTCAAAAAAATTTTCAAAATCCCCGTTTACAAGCAAAAAAACTCAAAAAAACCGGTTTTTCTTTGTTTAAACAATTTTCCTGGCTACAAAACACGGGTTCTAGCGGGGACAAATGGAGGGCATATTCGTGGGGGTCTATACTATCTAGGAAAAAATTGGCTAAGCGCTGGTGTCTTAGAATAGGTCTCATGTTTATTCCGACTGGACTAGGAGGACCTTGGCACAATGCTCAATGACCTCAGCAGAGTTTCCCAACGAGTTAGTTTAAGGATGAACATGGATAAAACCAAGGTCATGTTCAATGTCCATGTCACTCCAGCACCAGTATCTGTTGGGAATGCGATTCTCGAAGTTGTCGATCATTATGTCTACCTAGGACAAACAGTCCAGTTGGGCAAATCCAACTTCGAGAAAGAGGTCAACCGACGAATTCAACTCGGATGGGCAGCGTTCGGGAAGCTTAGGCACATCCTCACGGCCAAAATTCCCCAGTGCCTGAAAAGAAGGGTCTATGACCAGTGTGTGTTACCAGTGATGACTTATGGGACTGAGACGTGATCTCTGAATGTCGGCCTCATAACAAAACTCAGAGTCGCGCAGCGTGCTATGGAGAGGGCTGTGCTCGGTGTTTCCCTACGTGATAAAATCCGAAATACGGAGATCCGTAGAAGGACCGGTGTGTACGACCTAGCTCGAAGAGTTAGCACGCTGAAATGGCAATGGGCAGGCCACGTCGCTCGAGGATCTGACAACCGTTGGGTAAGAAAGGTCCTCGAGTGGCGACCACGTACCGGATGACGCAGCGTGGGGCGGCCCGCAACAAGGTGGACTGACGACATCGTCAAATATGCTGGGAGCCGCTGGATGCGGATAGCGCAGGACCGCGCATTGTGGCGTTCTATGGGGGAGGCCTATGTCCAGCAGCGGACGGAGAAAGGCTGATGGATGGAAAAGCTTCATCTGGCTTTGGTACTAAAATGTGCTAAAATTATCGTTCAAACTTTAAACTAAGTCTCCTACAGCACATAAAATAATATCATTTTTCGCAACGTTAAATTATCGCTAGTCAAGCTGTCGTCTATAGGTAAACCCTTTACCCCGCAGGCGAGGACTCAGTTAAGTGGTCTACCTATAGCGTTGATAGACACAACCCGCAAAGGAGATTGCTCAGCTTCCATACATGTCTGGCCTAAAGACCAATAATCATGAAAAATAGTTTCCTAGATTCGAAATTATATATATAAATTACTGTAGAAACAAATATTATTGACGGACACCCCTGAGAACTTCTATAAACCATATACACTGAACATATTATAATAATAAAAAAACAAATAAGTTATATAGTAAACTAGGGAAATCAAGCCAAGTACCGAAATTATGGATTAGATTCAGGTATATAGAGCATGTAGATTAACAGATAGTTGCCTGTTTTTAAAGTTAATGGCATTAACTTTTAAAATCAGGTATTATCTATGCATTTCCGGTTATAATAAGGTAGTACTCTGTGACAGAAATTGTGTGATGATTGTGAATGAGCCACAGATTAGAGATAGAGAGAATTTTTAAACTCTCGATAACCAAAGAAAGCTAAGAGATTTAGGTTCTATAGCCATATATTCAGTAGCTTCATTATTTTTGTTATGTTTTTAAGATAACCATATTATTATTTTAGATTTTTGGTGTATCACACCTTATAATTTTATTTATTTATTAATTTATAGTAAGGGAACGTAGGCCCATAGATAGATACCTTAAAGTCTAACATATATACAGATTATAATGTGTTTATGGAGGTGTTTGGCGAAAAATGTATGGGAATAGACTTTATGATGTCGCCTACCATCTATAATAATTGTCTGAGCACATTTGCATGAAGTGAAAATGATAATATAGTTGTGGATATTAATACCATAGTGTAATAAAAAAAAAAAATTATTTTATCGATCTTTACAAAATAGATTTGTTTTTATGTTATATAAACAATTTCGATCAGTCTTTGGCTGAATGTTACTACACCCATAGCCATAAATATGATTCGTATGTTTTCCAAACCGGTAAAATTGAAAGTCCTTTTTAAAGTAAATATATTATACAAAGGTGTCCGTTGAAATCTAATGACTGTAAATTAAATTATAAATTACGCCAAGAATTACCGTGTATGTCAATATTTTTGTGCATTTGGGCCAATTTGAGCAATCTCGTTTATTACGACAGAACTAATTGTTGAACACAAAATAGAATGCCCATGTTTACACAAATAGCTTGGGTAACAGTTTGGGTACTCCCAAACTAGCTGTAAACCTAACTTTAAATATGTAGTTACATAGTTAAATAGTACTTTAAAGGTTATTAAGGATTTGGGGTTATGACACATTTTGTACAATAACATTAAAACCCCTGTTTTTATTTACAAAATAACAATTTGTCATAATAATTTGAATATAAAACGATCATGGAACATTTGTTTGGTATTGATTAGACTTGCAACGAATATTCGATTACTATTCGGTATTCGGCATATTCGGCTGCTTTTATTATATTCGGCCGAATACCGAATATCTACACATTATTCGGCCGAATACCGAATACTTAAATAATATATTTTGTCATAGAGAAATAATTAGTAAAATGAAAAATTAAAATCGATTGATTACGTATATTTTATATTCATATTTTCATTTCTGTTATATAATCATTTAAGTAGTCATTGGTACATAATCATCTTCTGAATTGGAAAAATGGAGGATTCTGTATTTGAATTATTGTGGTACCTAATCAAAATTTAGAAGGGTAAGGTTCTCATTTCTCTTATAATCATTTATTAAGAAGTCATTTGTACATAAAAGAGGTACATAATTTAATCATTTTCTGTATTTAACAAGTTAACAGATTTAATTCATTCAGTCATGTGATGAATGGTTACATAATAGCAATAAATTAAAGTTTACGCGCCGTTTTTGCCATGGTTTCCATTAAAAGTTGGTTTTGTCATCATTGGAGGACGGCAGATTAGAACAAAACAAAGGAGCGCGAAACAATCACGTCTGTACAAGTTTTTGGCGCTAAAATCCAGCCGAATACTTTTGTCTAATATTCGGCTATTCGGTCAGGGACCTCGCCGAATATTCGGTATTCGGTATACTGCCGAATATACTATTCGTTGCAAGTCTAGTATTGATGTATCCATTGTACGGTGGTCCATACATCTATGAGCATTCTCCTTTAAGCGCATTTAGGACTAAAGCCACTGGAATCTTCGTCGCGCAGGTGTGAGAGAAGCATCATACCACGAAGCTTCGTGGCGATACGCTCAGGTGTAACCCTAGCATTAGTCCGGTCTCTTGCTTTGTTCGTGTCAGTCCACTATATTTGAAAACCTTTTATGTTACATATTGTGCCCTATAGTCATTAGTTGGCAGTAACCTTCAAGATTGTGAGTTCCCTGATTTGCACTCAGTTGTGCCTAGTATACATTTGCAATAGACAGCTCAAAACTAAATGAAAAGACGGCTCTTGTTTCAGAAAATTTTTATTCATTCTTTGTACATTACAAGTGGCATAGTTTGTGACCCATCTAAGATGGATGGGAGCGAAGTCATAGGAGCTTGGTGTTCAAAGCCGTAATATTGATTTATTGCATGTTCAATCAGAGTTTGTGGACTTAACTATAATACATTGTTTTATGGTTTCAGTTTTCTGTTTGGATGCGAAATTCCGATTTGACGACAATGCTGAATTTAGACAGGCTGAGCTTTTTAATTTGAGAGACATTACCCAAGAGGATCCGAAAGAAATTGAAGCTGCTAAATATAATTTAAATTATATCGCGCTTGATGGTGAGTTTGCGAAGTTGTTTCTTATTCTTCTATGTATTACTATTTTTAAGGCATTTCCTCTCGCTTATGATTAAGCTAAGCTATGGAACAAACACTAGGTTGAGGTTTTCAGAAGGTGTATAGAAGTTTTTATAGGGTCAGCAATGTGCACTATTTAACTTTCCGTGTGCTTATTTGCCTTTTGTAATAATAACTAGGAAACATATTGGCCGATATTCAACCCTTTTTAGGGCTTCCCCCCATAGAGGCGGTATTATCGGTTTATAAACGGTAACGACTAAGTGTAATCGCGCCATTAAAGTTAATTTATTCGCCCTTGTTTAGGTAACATCGGTTGCATGGTAAACGGCGCCGGGCTAGCGATGGCTACGATGGATATCATCAAGCTGTACGGCGGCGACCCCGCTAACTTCCTCGACGTCGGCGGCGGAGCCACCGCGCAAGCCGTCTCGGTAATTATATCTGAAATGAACTACTAAAAAGACTTTGTGAGCTCTTTTGAATCGTCCAACATTCTTAATATGATATTGTGCTTTGCAAACTGTAATAGGGTATTTGACAAGTTTTAGAAAACGATCTCACGTTATTGACTAATGTTTATCGAGTCCGTTAAAAGTAGATATTCATCAAAGTACAATAATTTCCAAATAAAAGCTTTATTTTTCCTCCTTCTTCTTCTTCTGGTGCCTCTCCGTTACCGGAGGTTGGCCGTTAACTTTGTGTACTCCTGTCGGTTCTGCGCCAAACGGAAGAGCTCCCCTGCATTGGCGATCCCGGTCCACTCTCGGATGTTTCGTAGCCATGACTTTTTACGCCTTCCAACGCGTCGTTTCCCTTCAATTTTGCACATCATTATCAATTGCAATAAGTCGTATCGTTCGTGTCTCAGCACATGACCCAGGTATGCAACTTTACGACGTTTGATCACCTGTAGCAGTTGTCGAGCTTTACCGACGCGTTGTAATACTATCTCGTTCGAGATCTTGTGCGTCCAAGATATTCGGAGCATACCTCCTTAACACCACATCTCGAAAGCTTCAAGGCGTTTCTTGGTGTCCTCTTTGATGGTCCATGGTTCGCATCCATATAATACCAAAGGCCAAACGTAACACAGAAGGATTCGAACTCTAAGTCTGATGTTAATACTCCGACAACATAAAACCTTTTTCATTTTGCTGAAGGATGCTCGAGCGATTTCTATCCGGCATTTTATTTCTTGATCGGAATGCCATTCTTCATTGACCCAAGCACCAAGGTATTTATATTGTCGGACCCGCTCTAAGGTCTTATTTCCGATACTGATGTTGGCGACTGGATTTGACCTAGACACAACCATGAACTTAGATTTCTTGATGTTCATTGAAAGTCCAGCACGCTCACTGTGATCTTTGACTTTGTCGACAATCACTTGCAAGTCGTTTTCGGAGGAAGCTATAAGGACAGTGTCATCAGCGTAACGTAGATTATTGATGATCTTTTCATTGACTTTTACACCAAAATCCAGGTTTTCCAGCGCTGCGGACATGATCGCCTCCGAATACAGATTGAACAACAATGGTGAAAGGATACACCCTTGACGAACACCGCGCCGTATTTCCACATCATCGGTCTGACTATGCCCAAGACGTACATGTGCTCTCTGGTTCCAGTAAAGATTTTGGATGATCCTTACATCTTTACCATCCAGTCCAGCACCTTTCATGTGCTGCATTAGTACCTCGTGTTTAACACGGTCAAAAGCCTTTTCGTAATCAATAAAACACATGTAGATATCGGTCCGCATGTCCAAACATTTTTGCGTCAAAACATTTAAGGCAAAAAGAGCTTCCCTAGTTCCTACGCCTGCTCGAAAGCAAAATTGACATTCACCCAGTTGCTCGTCAATTTTAGGTCTTATTCTGTTGTGAATGATAGATAAAAAGATTTTAAGTACATGGCTCATGAGGCTGATAGTACGATACTCGTTGCATTTCTTCGCGTTTCGCTTTTTAGGCAGCGCAATGAAAGTCGATTTTAACCAGTCGTGAGGAAGGTTACCAGTATCATAAATTTGGTTAAAAAGTCTTACTAGGGCCTCAGTATAGTCATCCTCCAACAGTTTAAGTACTTCAGCTGGAATATTATCAGGTCCAGGTGATTTCCCTGATTTTGCTGCTTTCAGTGCATGTATAACTTCTGATTTCAATATGGGCGGGCCCGTGATGTCTGAAATAGGACTCATGTTTTGTCTTGAAGTGTCTTCAAATAATGAAGCGATATACTTACTCCATACTTGCTTTTTACTCTCTAGGTCCAATATAATACTGCCTGCGTCATCTGTTAGCAAGGATGTCACGTTTCTTTTAAGTCCTGCCATCTCCTTAATCTGCTTATGTAAGTTGAAAGAATCATGCTTACGTTCCAGCTCTTCCATGATTCGACATTTTTCTGAATAATGGGAGTCTCTGGCCCGCTTAACTTCAGCACGTATCAGACAATCCAATTCTTTGTACTTCACAGGATCTACATGTTTACAAAGCCTGCGTGTATCCATAAGATCTAGAATATGTAATATATTTTTCCTTAAATCGTGTAATGATAAACGCAATCTGCATTCTCGAAAGCCACCAGGCACAGAACTGAGCATACATGCCGTATGCAGGAAGCTTGGAGAGAACATCTTGTTCTTTATCAGCATGGAAACCCTTCCCCCTTTTCACCCCTTTTAAGGATGATTTCTGATATTAAAAAAAAACTATCCCATCTCAATATTTAAGACGTCTTTTAGCTGACAAGAAGTATGGGCGCAGCAAACTTAACATAACAACACAAAAGTAGGAAAATTTAAATTAAATCGTAATATAAAGTCAAAGTCAACTTTTCTTTATTCAAATTGGAAGCATAACTTAATACTTACAACTCGGTCGAATCCTACATATTAAATTTAAGCAATTATGAAAATAGTAGGAACAAGTATATAAAGTCAAATGACTGTAAGCCAAGGTAAAGTAACCTAAATAATATTCCAACTAATATTATAAAGGCGAAAGTTTGTAAGTGTGTATGTTTGTTACTTCGTCACGTCAAAACGGCTGGAGCGATTTTAATAATATTTGGTATGGAGTTAGCTGACACCCTGAATTAACACATAGGCTACGTTTTACTGCGGGAAAATATTCCTAATAAACTGCGAGTAACACCGCGGGGCACAGCTAGTTTAAATATAAATTCAAATTTCAGCTACACTATTAATCTAATTGTAGTGTGGTGTAGCCATTTTAATGCGCAGTAAGTTATAAATAAACATTAACTTTTATCATTACATAAAAGAAACATTTATTGGGCCTGATTCATCTGGCATGATTCTCTCAACCTAAAAATAAAATTAACAGCATTGTAATCTTGTCATGCTCTATACAGAAACAAAAGGAGAGACTGGTGTCGTTTGTTTTTGAATTTAGAGAATCAGGCCCATTATCCTTTACTATAACAATTATTTTGTAATAAAAATAATTTCAGGCTAAAAATAAAAATAGGTATTGTTTCCCTTCCGTGGATTGGTTTTGGAAGTACTCTACCTATACCTGCAGTTTTTATATGGCGTAATCAGCCCTGTCGGAGTCCCATTCAAACGAAAATTGTGTTTATACTGTACAAAAGGCTTATCAGTACAAGATACACCTATTTATAAATGTTATATCTGTTTGTAAAACTTTAGTGCGCATATCGTATACCTCTGAGAATGGATAATAAGAATAGAATTTAAAATAAATGTCTTCCAGAGATAAGAAAAAAATAACGTAAACATGAATTGATGATAAAAAAAAATAAATGAAATATTTCTCATTATGATGTGTTTATTATGATAACAAAAAAAAAACAAATCTGGGGCCCAATTCTCGCGGCGTAGACATTATATCGTCTTCGAGATAATATCGAAAGTAGGGATATCTTTTGAAAATATCTACTGATGGTAAAAAATGCTATTCTCGTGGATTTTCGATATTCCAATGATTTTATATCTATCGTAGATATTCTTTCACTGTCGAATGCGTTCCGTTTTTCTCGATTAAGTTAACATCATAGTCTATATAAAATAATAATAAATTAGAGCAGAATTTTACAAGCAACAAAATGATATTTTATGAATTCCATTCATATTATATATGAGTATACATTTTTTGAGTATAAGAAATCTCAACTTTACCTAAATTGTATGCGTATATAATTTCAACGTTAAGTATAATGAAACGTCAATATTATTTAAGATTCTCCCTTTTCAGGGAAAGCAAAGGGAACAATGCCCATAAAGCCTAGTCTTTAGTTATATTAATCTTCTTTTTTTTACATTCCAATGTCGGTGTGACGCATTCTAATCTTTCTTGGAGTGTTTGGCACGAAATTTATGGAGTTGGCTTTTTCTCTAAGCTTCTGTGAGGTAGTAAACACTACAATAAACTTCTCGCGTCCACTTGACCGGAATAGCGTATATTTTAAAGATTCCACTAATTCTTCAGTTGCGCAGACGGTTGTAACACCAAATCACACCAATTTTATTTCACAATATCCACTATGAACGAATTTTAGAATAATTAAAATAAGATGCCAACCGCACTCTCAGAAATCCCGCCAAAACTCCGTATCGTCAATAAGAAAATGGTGTCGATTCTGGCATGATTCTATAAACCTAAACGTAAATTTGACAACAGTGTATCCTTGTCATTCTCCATACAGAATGAAAAGGAGAGACTGATGTTAAATTTAGTTTTAAGTTTAGAGAATCGTGTCAGAATCGATACCAATGTCATTCATAACTTTAAAGATTTCTAACCAAATTTTTGTTTAAACGTAATTTTTTTATGAAGTCGGCGTCCCTCATTTCAAATGGGTCCTCTTGCTCTCACAACGGCGGCGCCTTAGCACAGCAGCAGCAATGACGTCATTTATTAAAGCATTGACGAAAACATGAATCAACACATCCATCGTTAATATAAACTGGTGTCGATTCTGGCACGATTCTCTAAATTTAAACTTAAACTTGACAACAGTGTTTCCTTGTCATTCTCTATACAGAATGAAAAAGAGAGACTGATGTTAAATTTAGTTTTAAGTTTAGAGAATCACGCCAGAATCGACACCATTGTTTACCTACTTCTTTATTTGCTAATTATTTATGAAGGCAGTTAACAACATCTTGAGGTAACAATAAGACACACGACAACACAATAAATAATAGGTAAAAAAAGTGGAAATAACAAGATTGACATGCCAAGATCCATAGATATTTATATATCGAAGGCTCTTTACCAGTCGATGTATGTCTACTGATAATCCGTAGATAAATATCTATTGCGACATGGTGAGAATAGGGCAAAAAAGTTTATCCTTCGATAAAAGCCAGATCATTCGATATATATCGAAGGTGATATAATATCTATGCCGCGAGAATTGGGCCCCTGGTATGTTTTGTCATGTTATCTATACCTACCCCCATATTATTAGCTGCAATATTTTGCTTTAAGTTTTTACTCGTCCTTTGTTTTAGATAATTATGTTCTTTTAATGACTTATGGAAACAAGATTTCTTAATTGCTAGAAATAATTACCTATAAATAAACAAACTTCAAAACAAAGTCGATAGGAGGTATCTATTGATGATTGACGACCTCCGTGGCCGAGTGGTTTATACGCCGGGTTTCATGGCGTCGCCGACTCGAGAGGTCCCGGGTTCGAATCCCGGTGGGGGCAGATGTTTGTGTGATGAATACGAGCATTTGTACTCCAGTCATGGATGTTTAATATGTATTTCATATAAATATACTTATATATGTACAATATATGTATTCTATCCGTTACCCTAGTATCCCATAACACAAGCCTTTACAGTGCTTACTTTGAGGCTAGGCTAATTGGTGTGAGTGTTGGAAATATTTATTTATTTATTATTATTTATTTATTGATATCCATTCTCTTTCGAATACACGATTCCATCCGCTAAGAGAAACTAATTCAAATGCAGCATAAAGTTAAATGATGAACATTGCGCTTTTCTCCAAACAAACGTATCAGTTGTTTCAACTGTTTGCCCAACGATTGAAATGATAGTCAAATTTCGATGAATTTGAATCATCATCATCAGCCTATTAATGTCTCTACTGCAGGAGCACAGGCCTTTGTTATGGATAGAACAGGGAGACTGGGCCGTGACCCACCACGCAGGCCGAGTGCGGATTGGTGAGTGTTAAAGACTGCAGATACAGCCGAAACCAATGGATTAACCTGCCTTCCGAAGCATGGAGGAGCTCGAGATAATTAGTTTTTTGGTCACCGATCCAATGACCGACCATTACGAAAGTTGCTTAACTTAATCGCAAGGCGAACGCGCTATCTAGCTGCGCCATCGAGCTGCTCCTGAATTTCAATATACATATCACACATCTGGTTCTTAAAATCATAAATAAAAAAAAATGAGTAAACGATGCCAGAACTTTCCTTTCGGGTAAATAAAATTTATCGAAAGCTTCAAGGTATTTTTCTAATTGAACAACTGTGCGTCAGAGAGCGCCCCTGTCTATATAGCATTAGTGCAAAAAGATACACTTCTTGATCTTTAAAATGCTCTACCTACTGTAAAATTTAAAATATTACATTTCTGACTTTAAAGAACTACATGTGCGATATAAAGATTAATAAATATGGTTACATGCTCTATTTTTGTCCTAAGGATTTCACTTATTCACATATTTCAGGAAGCATTCAAAATCATTCTATCCGACCCCAAAGTGTCTGCCATTTTGGTGAACATCTTCGGAGGCATCATGCGATGCGACGTCATCGCTGAGGGCATCATCACTGCTGCCAAGAACCTTAACATTCAGATACCGGTAATCGTACGTTTACAGGTAAGCAAGCTTCTTCATTGGTCAATCATTCCTTTATATATATTTCTTTATATGGTTTATATATATTTGTTAAAATGGTGGCAAACAATCATATGGCCCGCCTGATGGAAAGCAGCTTCTAGGCGCTTGAGATACAAAAAATACTGACCCAATCCCCTACCTCATAGAGTCCTGGATCCCTATTAAAGTATTTATTCATTCACTCTGATGGTTTTTAAGTGCCATACTTGTTTCTTTTGTTATATTTCTGCACACAACACTCATTTCATAAAAATATCAATTTTAATGAGGTACTTACTTACTATATGTGTTACAACCATTATGTTAATGTGCTTAGAGACAAGGTCGAAAATTTACTCTCAATATTTATTTTAATTGACTTACCAATTTTAATAAAATCAAACACTAGTAAGAGATGAACCTTTTAGAGCTATTTTTTTTTTAATTTATTTAGAAACCAACTGCATTACAAAGTATATATGCATACCCACATGGGTCTAAAGTATAATCTAAAAGTAAAGCTAATTACAGGTTTCCGCTAAATACATAATTATTTGTTTCGGCAGATGTAACTCATGAAATTGTTTTTAAAGAACTTTAACTATGATATTCAATTTAATCGAAAATCTAAGAAGACAAAAAACATCTACTAATTGCCTTCGTTCGCAGACATTGGGATCAAAGATACCCTTCAAATGTCATTAAGGTTTTTGCAAAACTAATCTTATACTTAAAAAAATTAAACAATGTAAATAATCAAATGTAACTTATATAAAATAATATAAATAAATAATGTGTTGGAAAGAATCGTAAGCATTGCTCCACCACCAGAGTAAGCATTCGTGTTATGGAGATTAAATTCAACACAGTACTGTTCTAAAATATATTGGTGTCGATTCTAGCGTGATTCTCTTAACATAAAACTAAATTTAACATCAGTCTCTCCTTTTCATTCTGTATAGAGAATGACAGGGATGCACTGTTGTCAAATTTAAGTTTAGCTTTAGAGAATCATGCCAGAATCGACATCAATATATGTCCTTCATTTTAGGTGTTTATGTGTCATTGTTGTTAGCTATGTTGCTAAGATATTTTTAATATTAAGATTATAATAATAACTGCTGTAGCATCCGCACCACACATAAAATAAAAAACGTGTTGTGTTGTTCTGCTACTACTGGGTCATTTTTTTTTTTAATAAGTTTTACGGCCGTGAATTTCTCCATTTCGGCCATTCATTAGTACATTTCATCATTTTATATGTTTTCGAAAGTATTCATTACATATTCAAATAATATAGGATATGTATTAGTGTTTTGTAGGGCTTTCAAATACCGGATTTTTTCGATACCGGTATCAATACCGGTATTAGCATGTTCAATACCGTGATCACGGGATCACGGTATTAAATATGAACTTCAAATCAAAGAATATTAAAACGCCCGTTTTATTTCTAATCAGTGTTTATTTCTGTTACATAGGTACCTACATGAAAAACAGGCTAACAAAATATTAAATATACATTATTTTTTCTACCCTTCCCGGGTAGTCTTTTATTAATAAATAGTTCGGCGGAACTAAGAATTTGAGATCCATAATTTTTTATTAAACAAAAGATATACTATTAAAATAAAGAAAAAAATACAACAAAAATGCCGTCCCAATAATTAAAATTCGCATGGCAAACAACATTAAAAAAAAAATAGGTAAATTACTTAACAATCATCTATTCATTTACTTTGTACTATTTATATATTTACTAATCAAAAAATACTAAATAACAATATTCAAAAGAATCGATAATAAAACGATAAACATAATCAATATCATCTTAAGATTAAGTGTGATCTTAAAAAGGACAGAGCGTTTAATGATTTATCAGATAGCGAACTTCTCAATTTGTTGCATAAATAGCTGACCGAAGAAAAAGCTCGCTCAGCTTCTACACTTGTAGGTACTACAGATAGTAAATATTTGTAAGCTGCAGATAAAAATATGGTTTCGAAGACACACACTCTTATTATTGATTCAAAATCAGTGCCTGTAGTTGCAGTTGTACTTTTAGGTAATTTGGATATTTCCCTCTCCAACTGTTTCTGGGTGGACGCATCGTCATCTTCAACACTTGTATTTAACGATGACGATGAAGTAGAAGGTTCTTCTGTAGCAACACTAGCAACCATCTCAATAACTGCTGCGGTATTCAGTTGTTTATTTTGTATTTCAGTAAATTTTAAGCAATTCATCAGATGTTAGTTTTTTGAAAATGTCATCTTCGCTATCATTAGCACTTAAATAAGCTTCAGGGTCATGCAAGTATTGTAACACTCCAGATATATGGAGAAACGTCGCTCTTTTATACGTTTTCGAAGTGCCTTTGCAAGGTTTTGGCTCATCTCATTAGCCTGTCCATCTAATTTTGTTAACATAAATTTTAAAGCAATATCAGCTTTTAATAAGTATTATATGGTGAAAACCTTATATGTAATTATACCGTTTTATGCGCCAGCTCCTCAGTTTATCTCACTCGCGTTCATGCTTAACATTTCGTCTTTCTATTCATATAACCCTAATAAAGAATTGTTGATTTGTAATACCGTAAAATCACGGTATTGACTGATCAATACCGGTATTGAAAAATACCAATAAAAAAACCGTGATTACGGTATTACGGGATCCCGGAATACCGGTATTGAAAGCCCTAGTGTTTTGTATGATAGATGGCAATTGGCTGGGTATTCTGCAGTTATTATATATCTCTATTAAGCCATCTATCAATAACATTCTCTGTATAAAGAAGGCAGGACATTCTAAAATAATATGCTGTAAAGTTTCCACACTGTTGGATTTACAATATCGACAATCATTTTGGTCTTCGAATTTAATCCTGTTTAAATGCTCCCGGAATCTTCCATGACCAATTCGTAAGCGGTTCATAGTTGTAATATATTTTGTAGATGGAACTACTGGGTCAGGCTAATTGAATAATATGCCGATGAAAAATTAGGTAACAAGTATAAAATACTCCCTTACCTTTGGATGACAATGATTTCGCCCGACACAGCGCTGGTGGGTTCACAGGGCTTAGTACCGCAGTTCAGGGTGCTGATGGATGGTCTATTTTGTGTTAAAATGTAGTGTTAACCTGTAGCATGCATCTTTAATTATTGTGTTAAACTGATTTTGTTTTAAAGGGACAGTTAACGAATGATTTGATCGATTGGCAAGGGGATTTTATTCTAATACTATGACTGAACAGCTCGATGGCGCGGATGGTTAGCGCGTTCGGCTGCTATCGTTGAAGTTAAGGAACTTTCGCAGTGGTCGGTCATTGGATGGGTGACCAAAAATCTTCTATCTCGAATTGCTCCGTGCATCGGTAGGCACGTTAAGCCGATGGCCCCGGCTGCGTCTGCAGTCGTTAGCACCCGCCAATGCGCACTGGGCCCGCGTGGTGGGTCATGGCCCAATCTCCCTATTCCATCCATTCGGAAGGCCTGTGCCCCAGTAGTGGGGACATTAATAGGCTGATGATGATGATTGTGACTGTACAGGGAACGAAAGTGAACGAGGCGCGCGTCTTATTTTGTGGTAAAATGTAGTATTTACCCGTTGTATGCATCTTTAATTCTGTGAGACTGATTTTGTTTTAAAGAGACAGTTAACCACAGATTCGATGGGGTGGCGGGGGATTTTATTCTAATACTGTGACTGTGCAGGGTACGAAAGTGAACGAGGCGCGCAAGCTGATCGCGGACTCGGGGCTGAGGATCGTGCCTCGCGACGATCTCGACGAGGCGGCGCAGCTCGTTGTGCAGCTGTCCGAGATCGTCACGCTCGCCAAGAAGGCTGGCGTCGAGGTCAAGTTCGATATACCTAAACCGTTCTTAGAGAAGTAAACCGAAACAGTATTGAAACCTTCATCTACACTCGAACTACCTTATTCCAAAACGCGGTTAGTTTCGGTTTGAACCTAACGCTGTCTCTGTCATCTTTTTAGCAAGCAGAAGTGACAGCATCAGTTTGAGACCGGGTTTAGCTTTAGTCAACGTTTTGTAATAAGGCGAGAAGAATATATCTCTCGGTGGCGTAAAATGGGAGACATAGATCAAGCGTCCATTGAGTCACTAAACGCGACCAATATCGGCTAGGTGGCTGCGTCTAGTGGCGCTTAGTGGCCCAATGTGTAAATCGAAACTGAGCAGTATAAGTATGAGAGAGCTGAAGCGATTGTTTATGGTCCTATAGGGTATTCGACTACTTTGAAAACGATCGTATGTTAATGGCTTGTGTTTATGGACATCTCATTGTGCAGATCTCGATCTGTCTCGTTATTCAGTAAAACAAATGAAATCAAATATTCTGCGTTGAAATATACCGCTGGACCAGCTCTTGTTATTATGGCGTAATACCTGTATGTTACGTGACACGAATATCATTCAAACGTGCAACGGTACAATTAATGTCTGATTTACATATGTGTGACATAATTTTAGTCTGCACCAATCCCAGACGGTTTCGGTCACGTGCCAATAGATAAAAGAAACTATTTTCTAATAAAATCGCTGCCAATATTCATTTTAAATACAGATGTCAACTATTGGTACTTCATTGTTAATACTGTCAAATACCCTATTGACTGCACCTTCGCTTTCGGTCTTTCTAGTGAGTAGTCAATTTCGTGCAGGTATTGCTCATTCCTTTTTTATGTGTATGTCATTCCATACAATTCCATATCGTAGTGGCCTTATAGAGAATGGACTGAGAATTCCCCATTCAACTGTAAAGTAAAACTAGAAAGATAAATATGAGCGATAAAATGACTGTGCGGCCTATAGTTCATACAAAGTATTGCCTATAAAGTAACTTTATAGCTATAGCTCGTATACGCATTGGCGACTATTTCATGCGAGTATCGCTCATAGAGGTATAAGAGTAGAGTGGGGAAGGCGACTCTAAGTGTCCGTCTTGTAGAAAGAGAAAGAAGATGAGAGCCCGCTTGATATCTCTCTCTTGTGACGCATGGCATCCAATGGCATCACATCGAAATAGTAAGATGCTTACGGTTGCCAATCCGTATGCGCGATTAGAGAGAGAAAGCTAGCGGTCTCTCATCTTCTTTCTCTTTCTATTAGAGGGACACTTTCACTTGTAGTAGAGTCTATATCTCCCTTACTCTATTCTTAAACCTCTATAATATCGCTCAGTCGATTCTCTCTGTAGCTAACCTGAGCGGAGATAAATTTTGACGACCCCTTAGCACCATTTTCTCTACCCACAGAAAACGAATAAAACTAGTGCTCCTATCCTAGATTTATACGATATTTTTATGAAAATAATCAATAGTGCCACCCGAGACTAAACGAACCATCCCGTCTACGCCACCGTCATCTCCTATCCGTAATACTTCAACATGATATTATTATCGCATACATCTTGACTATGTTACGATTTATTCGATTGAGTAAACTCGGCGCGTATAAAATAATTTTTAACTTCTTGTAATTAATCGGTTAAATAACTATTATAAGTTTAAGCTTAAAGTGGTGTATCCGTTTCGATGTTTCCTAGTGACTTCATTTGTAGATAGGTGCCAAATACATTATTTTTGTCATGTTACATTTACACGCTTATGTAGCACTTTTACTTTTTTTTTACTATACTACTATTACTACTAGTACTATTTAAATGTTATTGAACTATTACAATATAAATCAATGTTACCTTAGCCGGTAAAGGGCGCATAAGCTTGTAACATAGTACGGCGTTGTTAAACAACATTAGTGTAAGATATTTTTCATCCTTTCATTGTAATATTTATTGAATTCACATTGTTATTCTTGTTGTTATTGAATAGTTAGAGCAGATTAATAAATTGGCCTCTTTTAAAATAATATAAATTTTATGGTATTTACACCATCACTTTTATTTAAAGGAGGCATATATTATGTTGGTAGTTGCGTGTTTAAATCCTCTAAAATGTACAGCCCAAATCCAAACATACAGATCAATACCATAGTGTATTACTATTTATACATATATTTTTATGGGATAGCCTAATAGCTCCTTGAGACGTGTATCAACGCAATAATTATAAATTTACGTATTGTATGTTATTTTGTAAATAGCAGCTTCATGAGTTCATGTATTATTTTGAATGTATAATTAATACCAGAGCGGAAAGTACAATATTTATAATTGTAACATGGACACATTTTAGATTAATTTATTTATTGGCTTATGGAACTTCCATAATAAAGAGTAATTTAGATCTGACTTTTGTTTCATGATATTATTACCACTTAGAATATCCTTTTTTATTTCATCGTATATTAGAATGTGTAGATATCAAAGTTGCTTTTGTGTAACTTAAAGTTGCCAAGATTTCCAATTCCGAATTTTATTGGTGAACAATTTAGTTGTGTAGATTTTTATTCCATAGGGCTAATGGAGATATTTCTATTTTCGGCGATTCACAATAGACATTTTAGAGTAGTCACAAATTTCACCAAAAAATTCCATATAATAAGGGAACTCCTACATATATTTTTATAAGATATAAAAGTTTGTATGTTATATATTTTCTACTTGGTTACGTAAAAACTGCTGAACGGATTCGGATGTCTAAATAAAGACATGATGTTTTTTATCTCGCAAAAAGATTTCCTCTAATGAAATTTCTGTTTCCTGTGGAATTATAAAAAAATACGCATCAGAACCCCACTATCCATAAAGTAGGTATACACCTTGGAAAACTTCTTGAGCTTCGACAAGGTAGCCTGCGCAGTAGCAATTTTATATTATACAAAACGTCTATTGCGGAAGTTTCTTGTCTGTGGTTTTGCTGGAGAAGTTTGCCGCTACCTATAAAAGATTAACTAATGGTCAATTATGACTACAGTGCGACGAATATAATGAATGTGGCGCAAATTGGTACCAACGCCGCCGCCTTTGTAAACTTTATATTTTATATAATGTCATTTACGTAGACAGTGGCGCCCTCCCTGAGCTGTCACTCACATTCATAAAGATCTTGGTCGCACTGTAGCGCAGAGTCGAAGCGCCATACAGAAACACATATAGCAAAATTCACCCTTAATGCCGAAACGTAATGCACATATTCCTTCTGCGCTGATATCATATCAGCGTTGGTTGCGCAGACGCGCGAATCCGCCGTAATTCGTTTGTTTTTTTAACTGGGAAGGAATATGTGTATTACTTTGCGGAGATAATGGTGAATTTGCTTTTATTATGTTTCTGATTGACGCTTCGACTCAGCGATCATATAAAATGACCATAATAATCGCACTTGGATACTACTTGATTAAAGTTTATGTTGTTCCTTTGCGAAATCAACAAAAAGTAAGACAACGCCCCAAAATTGGTTCTAATTTTAAAATTATTGGACATAAGAGCCGATGGCGTCTTTATCGAGCAGTTTCTTTTTTCATGGCTGATGATATTCTCTTTAACGCCTTTTATAGTGCTAGAAATCCATCAAATGCCAAGTTTTAGGAATAAACATTATCTAGTTTTTTTTGTATGGAGAAAATCTATACTTTTCATTTTCTCCAGATTGTTTTAATTGCGTTCAATTGATTTTACATGTATAATATATATATATATGTCATCGGAATATAATACATTCGGGAAGTTATCAATTTCCTAGTTTTATCAAGTTTTGTAAGAATGTAAACGAGAGATAAAATGTATTATCTTACGGGAACATTTTCGTAAATTGATCAATTTACCGAGCTCAGCCGTAAAATAATACGTTAGTTGATGAACAAAAATTTGACATAGAGCTGAACAAAAGTTTTATAGTGGACATGACCAAACCAGTGTAATGTCGGAATGGATTGAACAAAAATTAAAAAATGTGACGAAGGCATTATAGGGTATAACTGTACTTCCAGGGCCCGAGAGGTGATACTTCACACTAGGTTAAGTTAGTGTTGTGACCATAACACACGCGCCGAGCGAGCAAAGCGAGCGTGCCGCGGCAGCGACCGGCGAAGTGCCCGAAAAAAAACTCTGTTAAACAGTTTAACCTTAAAGGCAAGTGCCTATAAGTATACAGTCATCTTGTGCATGGGTACGGCCAGAGTGCACTCAGATTCAGATTCAGACTCAGAAAACAAGCGCGAGAAATAAACAATGTAATTTAAGCAGGGTGGCCATAGTGGCAGCTTCTATATATTTGAATTATTGTGGTAATCAAAATTTAGAAGGGTAAGGTTCTTATTTCTTTTATAATCATTTATTAAGTAGTCATTGGTACATAAAACAGGTGCATAATTTAATCATTTTCTGTATTAAACAAGTTAAGCATTTTTTTATGCATTTGAATTATTTTCATAATCAAAATTTAATTAGAAGGGAAAGGTTACGGTAAGGCAGAAAGACTAACTTTTCTGCATTTTTTGGAAGTAGTTTACTTCTTTTTTTCTCGTAGACCACCCCAGCTTCAGAGAAAAGGCGCTCTGAATAAACACTACTTCCTGGCGCCGACAAATATTTTGCTGATAAAATATCTTAATCAAACACGGAAATTCAAATTTCCTTGCTTGCCACCATGTATACGGGTTGTCATGACATGATATATAACTAATATTTAAGAAAAGATCAGAACAATAGCGGGCGCGCGGGCGATGAGTACATTAGAACAAAACAAAGGAACACGTCAGGAAACAATCACGTCTGTACAAGTTTTTGGCGCTAAAATCCAGCCAAATACTTTTGCCTAATATTCGGTCAGGGGCCTCGCCGAATATTCGGTATACTGCCTTTAGGGTACGGGTGCGGCCAGAGTGCACTCAGATTCAGATTCAGATTCAGATTTCGAAAACAAGCGCGAGAAATAAACAGTGTAGTCGAAGGGTACGGCCAGATTGCACTCCTGATTTAGATTCAGATTCAGACTCAGAAAACAAAGCGCGAGAAAAAGCAGGCAACCTGCTTAGACTACACTGTTTATTTCTCGCGCTTGTTTTCAGAATCTGAATCTGACTCTGAATCTGAGTGCACTCTGGCCGCACCCTACGGCCAGAGTGCACTCAGATTCAGACTCAGAAAACAAGCGCGAGAAATAAACAGTGTAGTTAAAGCAGGGTGGCCATAGTGGCCGCAGGCAACCTGCTTAAACTACACTGTATATTTCTCGCGCTTGTTTTCTGAGTCTGAATCTGAATCTGAGTGCACTCTGGCCGTACCCGAATATACTATTCGTTGCAAGTCTAGTTATAATGTTTACTCAGGTACGGTGCATAACTGGTAATATTTTTACTGGTCATGATTTTACTGAAGTGTACAAGTCATATCATAATTATCTAACAGTGAGCTGTAATACTTCTAATATTTCATAATATGTGTTTAGGAACAAAAACAAGCAACAATTGGTCAACAGAAAGAAGGCAACACAAGTAAACAGACAAGCAAAAAATTTTGTATATATTTTTTATCTATAATTACCACATGCTGTATTTGACTAATTTATTTTTTTGAATGTGAAATTAAATGTGGAATCAGGAGGACGCAATTAAAACAATGTCGCGAAAAAAATATTATAGTATTTTAGTCATACAAAATAAACTCGACTATTTTTTATTCTAAAAAATTAGGCATTTGATGAATTTCTAGCACTATAAAAGGTGAGGGCCGCGGTAGCATAATTGGTCAGTGCATTCGCCCGGATTGCTAAGGGTGTGGGTTCGAGTCCCGTCTGCTGCATGGTCCGCGTGGAATTTTTTCTAGTTATATTTTCTTTAGATTTAAACATCAAGCAGTTACATGCTTTAAAATAATAAGAATTATAACTATAAAAGGTGTTAAGGGGATCATCATCAACCATGAAAAAAGAAACAGGTCGATACGGCGACATCGGCTCTTATGTCCATTAATTTTAAATTTTGTACCACTGTGCGCCCGACTGAATGAAATATGAATATCAATGATAAATTTAATTGACGCCTCTGCACGCGGCCCTAAATGTTACAGAAAATTAAACGATATTTATTCAATAGGTCGGATTTCTGAATATAAGAGGAGCCGGAGGTAAAACAAAGTCCAGTGGCCGTTGATGTTGATGGCAACGACTACAAAATAATCAAAAATATAATATGAAGAAGAAGATGATGCTCTAGGTAATAATTCCATGAAATGTTTGGTCTGAATAGCTAACTCATGTCGTATTACAATGATGTTAAAACGCCGGTCACATTGGTAGCAAAAGAAACGTGAATTATTTCCCACACTTCATCAATGCAGAAGAAAACTGACATTGTTCACCGCCAGAGGCGCTAGTGTAGTATGGTTCTCGGCATCAGATATCATAGACGTTCGATCCTATATAGGGGAGAGTGGGTAACAATGGATCACTTTTTTTTTCAAGCTCCAGAAATCCCAAGTTTATGCGTAAATAATTAATCTATGATAATTAACCACAAGATATGTCCCTAATCTACAAAACCAGGTGCAATTATTGTTAAAAACGGCATAAATCTACAAGTTATAACATTTTTTTTAAAAAATGGGAAATGATCCACTGTGACCCGTGGATGGGTCACTTTGGATCTTTTCATGGGTGACAGGGAATCGCTTGGGGTACACTGATCTTTTAAAAAAAAGCTCAATGGAATACCAATTTTCTTCATAATTATTTATTTATTTATATTCTAAGACAGCCTTCTATCACAGTCTTATCAAAAATTAACAAGTCTTTCAAATTATGCTGGTATAAAGAGACCTAAACTAATCAACATTTTGTTTAAATAAACAACAGTTCTTCTCCTTTCATTTCCACAAAGTTCTCTTCTCTATTCAAATAAACATATTTACTTCTTCAGTGATCATTAACAAACATTTTAATAAGATTTTTGTTAAATGCTAACTCAACTATTAAACATAAATATATTTACTCCTCGAGTAATCATTAATATAAACTTTAATAGGAACATTGTTGATATATCAACTATTAAAAATAAAAATTATTACTTTTTCAGTAATCGTTAACAAAAAATAAACTATAAAAACAAATATTATCATTTTCTGATATCTCAAAATTGTCTGAGATTTTCAAATTCAAATTAAATTAGATTAGCGTAAATTAATGTTAGAAAGATCAACGTTAAAGTTGTACATGCGTTGCCTCCTCTTTGTAGTCCCAGAAAACGTAGGTTTTGGTAAAATCATCTTAATATCATGCAGCGCTACCGTGCAGCTACAGTCCGCTGTGACCCAAATGAAAATTATTCACTGTGACCCATAGGCCGGTACGACACAAAAAAAATATTCAAAAATAACTGCTTATACCCAAGCCAAAATTACATTACTCACAACGGATTTATCAAATAACAAGTTCAAAACATACGACTATCATTTATATTTATTAAAGGGTTGGGAATACGACAAATTTTTAAATTACGTAAAAAAATACTTTCGTACTTACCTATTGGTCTGCGTGTGACAGCACGTGATTCTGCTCGGCGAGCGCGGCGGCGACCGGCGCGTGAGAGGGGGGTATCGACGAGCAGTAGCCACGCGTTTGCTTGTGTGCGTAAAGCATCAGACGTAAGAATTATAGCGAATAATCCGCTGTGACCCGTGATCCGCTGTTACCCACTCTCCCCTAAAGGGCTCAGGTATGGTCCGAGTACTTCACAAGGTGCAAAGTTGCCCCCTTATGTTATTCTTCTCGTACAATATTTTGCTTCTCTAGTAATTTTATGTAGAAGTACTCCAAAACTTTGTTTGCATATAGTATAAAATCTTTTAAATCGATCTTCGTAAATATGTAATTGTTTTACGGTAATAAAAAGTCGTGTTCAATGATCGTTTTTCAAACAATAACGTTTACGGCGCCTATGAGATCTTAAATACAAGTATAAAATTAGGTCATCCTCATCGCTCAATATGATTATGAATAAATATGACTTCATAATGGCCCATGATGGGAGATTAAAGACATGCCCAATTGTGTAGAGGGCATAATCGTCCATGAGTGGCCATCATCGCCTGCAATTGTGAGTAACTTAGTCTTTAAATTGTCGATATCTAAAGGCTCCTCTTCACAATGGGCTGTATGGCGATTGAAAAAGTGGCCATCATCGCTTCAATCATGGGTGTCTTCTACACAACCGTGACTGTTCATTTACGTCCCTGTCGCCTGTTGAAGATGGACGTCGCACAGTGTGGTATTTACCCTCAAAACTTGGCCAAAAATATTTTTTTGTTTCTAATAATTAGATAAGTCGTTTCTAGGTGATTTAACACTAAAGTATAATAAAACAACAATTTATTTTGTTAGAGTCCCATTTATTAGTCATCACTACAATCGTCGTTAATGTTAATATTGGTTACATCGCTTTCGCAAACTAATAATAATAATATTTATTGTCTATAATTTAGTTTAAACTAAATTAATGGATCAGAGGTCAATAAAAGTCGGTTTAAGATGTCCATATTACACTCAATTCGGGAAAATTTTCTCGAGAAGTTTAATCTATAGGATCGGATGTTTTTGTTGCGAGCTTCCGCTGCTTCCTCGAATAGCTGACCAATTGGTAGTATGGACTCTTTAATGACAGCCGCTCCATGTCGAAGTACTTTGTGTAAAGTAAGGGACATAGGGTAAAATCTATACAGTGACACATATAGTTCAGCTGTTACCTGGCAGTATTTTTTGAATCTTTCAATATTTATTTTTAATCCAGATCATAGAGAATCTAGAATGACTTTAAGTCTATAAATTAGGTCTCTATTAATTCCTGTTATTTCTGCTGAAATTTCGTATTCTTCAAAAAACCTTCGACTTGTATTTCCGTCATTGGTATTTCCGAAATTTGCTTTTGGCATGTCCTCTAAAAGTCCTAGTTTTTCTTTAAATTTGTTTTGGATGTCTTTTTTTCTGTCTTCCACTATTTGGTTTTCTTCGGTAGAAAGGCGGACATTCCATTTATTCACGGTTACCCTATATGCTACGTGCAAAACAGATTCAAAAAATCTAATTCTGGCGTGTAACAAAGACAGCCCAAAGCTGAAGTTTTCTTTTTTGCAAGGTCTCTCTTTTGACAAGTCCATGAATTCCGACACAGTGGCATCGCATATGTCGCACCTCATTGTTGATTTCGTATGCGTTGCTGCATTGCATACCTTGCCATCCACCATCGTAAATAACATTCTGTGTTTAATAGAGGTGTCATTTATATTTGTGCGAGTAAGTGCTGATATTTGTGACTTTATGTAGTTTATTTCCTCGTTTGTGACGTCAGTTGTCTCCTTAACGAAACGAACCTCTTTTTGATTTTGTGCGCAGCCAAACATTTTTGTTTAAAATCATGTTCAATTATTGAGATTCTGTTCTTTATATCAGCTATTCTCGGATAATCTTGAGAATAACCTTTCAATAATTCTTTCTCCATAAACATTTACTTTCCGTCAAAACTGTGTTCATTTGAACGTTGGACGATGTCATATAACTCATTTCGAGTCATAGTCTTCACGCCAGAAGGTCCTGATAACAATAAAAACGAATAACATTTAAGAAGATGTTTGTAGCAAATATTTAGGTCTTTACAAAAAAAAATATTTAAAAAAAAGGGGCGGTTTCGCGCGGCTATTTTTTTTATAAGTAGTCTTCCAAGTAAGTACCCGACATTATACAATACATTTCAATGCCATGAAATGTACAGAAATATAACAAAACCCCTTTTAAAGTATTAAAATAATCATTTATACAACAGTCAATTATACCTATGTTGTCGACTAAAAAAACAAAAATCCACAAGTTATTTGTCAAAAAATATATATTTAACAGAAAGTACATACCAGGAACAAAATCATCCATGATAAAAACCACCACTAAACCACTTCACTGAACTAAAATAAGAGCTTTGAGAACAATGAAATAAGAGCGTATCGAAAAATCACACGTCAGGCGTAAGCGAGCTGTAACTTCCGACTGATCACACGAAACGCAGAGTTAAGCTAGAGCTTTACCTGTTTCGCTATTGGATGCAGTAACTCATTAGCTTTTTGATGGTGTACAATACTCAATAGTTAACAGAAAATTTAAATTTCCATTTTTGGCCAGGAGCTCTACTCTCTTTCTCCGAAACGAAATTTCGGTAACGAACGAATTTCAAACGAAATTTCGCCAGTGTTTCTACTCTATTTCATTTTCGAATAGGCACATTAACTTCGGAACCTTAAACAGTTTTCGTGAACGAATGGAATGAGTCATGTTTTTGAGTTCTTTTTATCTCTACTTTTAAGAAAACGTTTTTTTTACTTGGAAACAATATAGGTAGTTTACGGCAAAATTTTTGATGACATTGAAAGAACCTTCTTTGACAGAGTTAGCAGACTAATTTGTAGAGTCGATACAATCTACTGTATGTCAACCTCAATTTGTCGTTTAATACTTTGAAGTATCGAAATTACAAAAAATAATAAAAAATGGTTTATTTGTTAATTTTACATGCTAAAAATGTTTCTCGAGCTAAGCAGCTATTAGCAAGTATTTTAGGCTTAATTAAAACAAATATCTCAAAACGAAAATGAAAAGGTAACACTTTTCATTTCGTTGATTTGAGGTTAAAATTTCGAACAATTATCTGTCAAATTCAACTTTTCCTTCGAAAGTTTTGTGAATTAGAGTAGGGTTGGAGAATTTAATTGTCAAAATATTTCGGACCAACGAATTTTCGAAATGAAAAGGAAACAGAGTAGGAAACGTGCGAAATTTCGATCGAAATTTCGTTTTTCGTTGAAATAGAGTAGGCCTCCAGGTTTTGAGGCCAAATACCACACTGTGCGTCGAAGTGACAGTGACGGCTGTTCAGTTTAATCATTATTGGAAAGTGCATCAAACAAGTGCGAGTTGAACTCGCGTGGAATGGGTTCCGTTAGCAGAAATTAACCATTATTAAATAAAATGTATGGATTGAGGAGCCATCAATCCATACATACATCATCTTGCAGATCTGCAAAGTGCTACTTTACATGACTGGGACTGCTACCATGTACCTTGTTTTTTAGAGTACTTATCGGCACTGTTCCAAGAAGGAGAAACTGATAACAAGGTACTTTGTAATTATCCTGTTAATTACCAAGCAAAACACGATACATTGTTTTATACCAAAACATTCAAATATAAGGTAGAAGTCTGAACTGAACCGCAGCCCACATGCCGCAGCTGCACACTGCAGGCGCCACTACTAGTTTCTATGAAATTGATTCCGAGCGTGGCGACATGCCGCGGCTGCACAATGCATATAATGCACGGTCAGCCACAGGCGCTAGCCGCAGTGTCACCTGCAGCCCATTGCGAAATTGTACCAGACGTCTCGATTTTTAAATCTAATTTATAAAATTTGTTTTACAGCACGCCAGCGAAACGAAATCGAGAGCATAATTTTTGTAATTGCTTTTTAATTAAATCACGAAATTGGGGATTATGTTCACTGTTTAAACACTTTGTGATTGCATAAATCGTTTTTAATAAAACTGTACATGATTATATTTTTTGTCTTTGTTACTATATAGACTTATTTGAAATATTATAATATACTTTTTAAGTGGACATGTTTCATAAGGAAAATATGAATGAAAACAATGTCTATAATATTATCTAAACATGAAATTAACTTTTAACAGAAATATAACTAAATTGTTCATATCAACGATTGCACTGAGACAGCATGAGTAGTGTGACATGAATAAAGACATTACAATAGTTTTTATTAAATATTATGTACACTATATAACTTCTTTACTCGGTGTTGATATACCTAGAGCTTCTTCATAGCCTACTTTGGTTTCATGTTTCCCTGAAACAAAAATAATTTCATAATGAAATTATATTAAACTTCGCTAGTTCATAACTTATGGATTCGATGTTGATGTAATATTGAAATAGTGTTGTTCATGAGCTGTGAGAACTAAAAAAAATCAACAAAAAATAATTCATCATTGTGAAAATTTGTATTAATGGATGTTTATTACTCAATCACGCAAAAACGTCAACGGAATTTAATGAAATTTAGCACATTTATAGCTTAAATTGAGACAGGAAACTTTTTATCCCGCTTTCCTGTGGAATATTAAAGAACTATAGCGCGGTTGAAGTCACAGGTGGAAGCTACTGCTGATTAATGGAAAGCAAAAAAAAAAGGTAAGCTGTGAAAATGAAAGACAATGCAAAAAAAAAAATTAATTGGTATTTCGTAAGTGTTAAGCAACTAGCGACCACAACGCGACTGTTTCTGATTCGGTTTTTTGCATGAAATCGCAAGGAAATCACAAAATTGATATAAGTTCAGCGTTGTACACTTAATTTGTTTTAAGCAGCGTTTTGAATGTCTATTTTCATTATTCTATTCGATAGGAACCGATCGTGAACAATTCGTAATTTAGATGATACGCATGCCAGTATTTAAGGAAATACCTTTCTTAGAAGACTTCTTCTTTTTCAATTCTTTATCTTTTACTTCCTTCTTCGACCTCTTATGTTTTTCAGTCTTACTCTTCACGTGATTATTGTCTGGCTCAACGTCTGCCGTATTATTTAAGGAGACGTCCTTATCCTCTGTTGTTCCCATGTCACCTATGAGCAGATTACCTAAATCTACGTGTACATTATTCTTATCCGATTCTGATAGCAATAAATCAACGTCTTTATTATACTTAGATTTCTTCTCCTTCTTTTTCTTAACAGTTTTATTAGTAGAACTTTTCTCCGAGGATTTATTATTTTTGGACGCTTTAGATTTTTTGATGAGGAGTCCACTTTCTTGAGATGGATATTGCTGAATTCTAGTAGAAAGTAACTCTTCTTCACGTAACGGCCTGTAAAGAAAATACAATATTATAAAATTACCCATATTTGTGCGGCATGAATTATATGTTCGTACGCAAGTTTAAGTAGGTTTGATGTCGCAGTGGTTAGGGCGTTCGGTCTGTGATCGTAGAAGTTAAGACCGCAGTAAAATAACAGTATCGGTCTGTTTAGATAATCTGCGCGACTTGTTGCGAGCATACGTACGGAGCAGCGCAAATGAATGAGAGAAGCCGTGTGTTATCGCTTGTTATCTGACCTCCTTTGCCGCACAAGCACCATCGCGATGATCTGAACTAAAATAAAAAACCGGCCAAGTGCGAGTGGGACTCGCGCACCTAGAGTTCCGTACAAACCTGTAGGTACATGAGTAAAAATTCACTCATTTGACATAAAAGTTTGTTTTTATTACAGCTTAAAGGTATTAGAGACCTGAGTATTTGATATGAATTTCAATTTAATACCTTTCCGCGTTTATGAGAAAAGAAGTAGTAACTAAAATTTTCAAAAATATTTTATATTATATGATGTAACTAAAATTTACGGTTTTCGCAATTTTTCTTTTATCTGTACTATAAGAGATTCCTTCGTACCAAATTTCAGGATTCTAAGTTCATGTGTAGTAAGTACTCTGTAGGTTTTGAATCCCGTGCGAGTTTCGAAATTTTGCGGCATAAACGGCTGTATCTCTTGATTGCTTTGGCTTAGAAGTTTGATTTTTTCACAGCTCCAAGGGACAGTAGACATGAGTATTAGATATGAATGCAGTTTGATACCTCCACGCGTTCCTGAGAAAAACGGCAACGTCTTGACAGACGGACGGACGGACGACAAAGTGATCCTATAAGGGTTCCGCTTTTTCCTTTTGAGGTACGGAACCCTTAAAAAGTTTGGATCGCACTATACTCACAGCTCGAGGTCGAGGTCCAGCGCTCGGTGCGGGTCGTCGGGGGGCGGCGGGGGCTCCTCGTCGGAGGGCGCGGCGCCTTCGGGCAGCTCCCCGCCTGCTTCCACGGCAGGCCGCGCTGTCCTACCCGACTCTCCTTCTAACATTAACAAACGACAACATTATTTCTATAAGGAGCTCGATTGCGCAAGTGGTTAGCGCGTTTGGCTGCGATCGTTGAAGTAAAGCAACTTTCGCAGTGGTCGGTCATTGGATGGGTGACCAAAAAAGACTCTTCTTCCTCTAAACTTTGGGGAAGTTACGTATTTTTTGTTCACTACCACCTAAGCCTTAACATTAAGGTGAAAGAGACGGCAACATGTGAATAATATAATTTTCTTTTCACGGTGTAGACCAGTCGATAATTTTAAAAATGGTGAAAAGTGAAAAAAAAATATAGTAGGATGAAACCCATTAGAAAAGGTAGAGAATATAACAAAAATGAAAGGAAAAATAAATTACGGGCGATCTGAGGTCGGGAAGGGGGAGGGGGTGTGTTTTTAAGGGTAAAAAATAGTTAATCTCGATTTCCGGTAAAACTGCAAGTCCTATGAAAAAGTTAAATGGCAAAGTTGTAGGTAACAAAAAGATCTACAGCTTTTGTATCGACACTTTTTTCACATAACCTCAAAATTTATGTGAAAAATGCGAATAACCGAGTTTTTGGTTTTTGATTTTTATTTTTTGCAAAAAAAGAATATTTTTTAGGATTATTAAAGGATTCGAGTTTTTTTCATTATTCATTTGCATTTTCTGAGAACATTTATCATAGTAGTGTATATTTTTTTTTATACCATCAGAAAGTAGAGATTTCAACAAACAAAAAACACCCCAACCTTTTTAAAAAAGCTAAGATATTAAGATATTTATATATTTATTTTAAGATATTTTGACGTGAGAATTTTCGATTGAAAAATAGGGTGCTTTTTGGATATTAAGTCAAAATAAGGTGAAAAAATGAATATTTTAAATCAAAAAAATTACTGTATGTTTGGGACATACAAAGGTAAGTTTTCAACAAAGGATGATGGGCAAAAATGTATGGAACTTGGTATCCGTTCCAATAGAGATGTGTTACATATCATTTGAAAGGTCTACTTGAATACAATAATGTCTACTATGGCGCTTGCCCTGATACGTTAGAGTTATAGAGCAAGAGCCAGCGGCCCGCAGGCCTTCGGTAAAGTATAAAAGCTGTAAGTTTCTCAATGTATGTCCCCAACACAGGTAAGAACGAACCCCGTCTATGTAACTTGGGTCGCGGTGGCTTTCGCAGGTATCAGGTAATAAAGGTGTGTAAAATTGTGTGTTAAATTTGGTAAAGTATAAAACTCAGTTTTTACATATTTTACTTATAATAATCCTAAAAGTCACCTTGCCGAAAGCCAGACACTTCGTACGGTTCCAACCCTCTGCCAGACACCCTTAAAGTATATTTAATTGTTACTATACTTACGGTATAGTATAAAAGCTGCAATTTATATATGTTATTTGGATAACTATAAAATAATGTTTTCTCAATAGCCAGACAGTTTCAGTGGATCCTTTATGTTGCCAGGCACATCAAAAGTCTAATGTAGGTGCGAGCGCGAGGGATATATGTGTCAGCGGGTGCGAGTGAAATAGCGCGTTCGGTCCATTGCGACGTTTTACTGCGCATCAGCTGTCATTTATTGTGTATTATGTGGTGAATAGTAATACGTACAGCAAGCGTTTTATTATTTTTTTGTTCAGTTTATAAAGTAATAAGGGAAAATAATGCTTGCCATAATGCTTGGTCACATGCACCGCCTACCAGATGATTCGTTCGTTTGGATGCTCACAGGAACTGGTAATAACTTAAGATATGTGGACCTGACGAAGATACACTCAGAGTTAGGAGAATCTATGTGTCGAAGCTTACCTGGATATCATGCAATCACAGGATGTGATTACAATCCAGCATTTTTCAGGAAAGGAAAATTGAAAGCTTACAAACTATTAAAAAATTGCGATGAATTCCAGAAAGCTTTTATGAAGTTTGGCGACAGCGAAATATTTGAAAATTATGACGAACAAGAAAACGTCTTTAAAACCATTCAGCGATATATATGCAATTTATACAATGCTGGTAATATTATTGATGTTGATACAGCACGATTCCAAATGTTTATAGATTCCTATACAGTCTCTGATGTCAACGAGGCATTTAATCGAAAAAAAATACGAAGTTTCGATGCCAGCAGTTTGCCACCTTGTAAAAGTGAGCTATCTCAGCAATTTTTGCGGGCAAATTATATTTGTACTATTTGGAATAATGCTCACCTGAAGAAACCAACTACATACAAACCAGAAAATAATGGTTGGATCTTGCAAAATGATCAATATCATTTTAAATGGTTTGAAGGTGATCAGCTACCAAACTACGTCAGTGATTCTCTAACAACTGTATCAGGTATGTAATTATGATGTTACAATATTATTGAGGAAATTATAATTATTTATGATTATGTAAACATGGATTAATTATTACAGAAACTGGCGAAGAAGAAGACGATGTTGATGACGACCAACCCACTTGTTGGAGCAGCGATGATGAAGACACTCAAGATATTGACGACTACGATGACAATAATTAAATACACTTTTTTTTCATTAATAAAATACCTTTGAAACATTTTCCCACTAATTATTGTGTTAGATTAATTGTATGATTCCCATAAATATTATAAAAATAATCATTTAAAGATATTATTCGATTGTTAATTTTATGATTCCTAAACACGAAAATTTTATAAAAGAATTTTCTAAACATTTATTTGTTGATTTTAAGTTAATGTACCCTTACTAATGAATTTTACTAATGAATTTTCATAGTAAATCTAGAAAATAGTTCTCATTATATACAATAAATGATAGATGATGCGCAGTAAAGCGTCGCAATGGACCGAACGCGCTATTTCACTCGCACCCGCTGACACATATATCCCTCGCGCTCGCACCTACATTAGACTTTTGATGTGCCTGGCAACATAAAGGATCCACTGAAACTGTCTGGCTATTGAGAAAACATTATTTTATAGTTATCCAAATAACATATATAAATTGCAGCTTTTATACTATACCGTAAGTATAGTAACAATTAAATATACTTTAAGGGTGTCTGGCAGAGGGTTGGAACCGTACGAAGTGTCTGGCTTTCGGCAAGGTGACTTTTAGGATTATTATAAGTAAAATATGTAAAAACTGAGTTTTATACTTTACCAAATTTAACACACAATTTTACACACCTTTATTACCTGATACCTGCGAAAGCCACCGCGACCCAAGTTACATAGACGGGGTTCGTTCTTACCTGTGTTGGGGACATACATTGAGAAACTTACAGCTTTTATACTTTACCGAAGGCCTGCGGGCCGCTGGCTCTTAGACTATTATATAATAAATAATAAAAAAAAGATTTTTCTTTTTAAATTGTTATACATTTTAGTCTTTACATTATTTTAGCAGTGTTGTAAGTATTAACAATAGGCTTATTAGGTTAGAGCGTTGATATCTGCAATAGTTTAAAAAAAACTGTATTGCAGATACCAGTGCCTTCCGACTTAGTAACAATACAACCTCGTATGAACTATTTCATGTTTATCTTTAAAGAGAAGAACGTTAATAAAAGAAAATGGTAAAAAACATAATATAAAATAAACAATAACTAGCTTGTTATCTTGAACGGTAACCATAGGCATATATAGAGGGGGGTCGAGTGGGCCGTGCCCACCCTAGGATGTTGGACTACCAATTCGAAATTCTATATTACTAATCACTAACTTCAAACGACTCTTCAATGTCAGGGCCCAGCCGGTAATGACGGTAACACTTAATAAAAAACTTTTTTAACAAAAATAAAAATAACAAAAATAGATTTTAAATACCTATTAATCTTTGTTGATACATTATGTTTTTGTTCATTTAATTTTTTATGTATGCAGTTATCCAGAGGCAGAGTGAAAGAAACACATTTTTGAGTACCTAATTACTTTATTCATTGTCTATAATAAGGATGTCATTTAGGAACAGTGCAGGAGCGACGAATCCGGCGTATCTGGCATAGCCTAGGTACCATATAATTGATAATATGTGAGCACAAGTTCCTATGGTACGTCTACCGGTTAGACATGTACAATAATGTTGAATTATATTATTATAATTATTATTCTAAGCTAAGTCGTTATTACTGAATAATACGTAGCAGTAATAGGTCCTTGCTCGAACATGACGAGACCGGATTCGTCCTCGTAACAAACAAACATTTCGATCTATGCCGTATTCAGGCAAGTCTTCCAATGCATTTTCTCTATATGTTTCTATCGTATATAGGCCATTATTTAAATGCTCGCTACAGTAAGATCTGGCTAGTTTGAGTTTGATATGTGCCCAAAGCAAGCACAATGAGTTTTTCTTCAGTCAGTTGGGGGAAGTTCTCCGCTTGCATTGCTTCAAGTCGTATGAAGTCTGCCCTTCGATGGTTCAACCGCTTTCTTTCTAGCCGCGGGTCAACGGGGTCAACGATAAAAACAGGTAAAAATAACGATGAAAGAAGGAACGAACGTAGTCTCACGCGCAGTACTAACGATCGACTAATGCGCCCGCTCGCCCGCACCTTCTGTCTACCTGCCTAAATACGGGCGGGAGAGGGGATGGAATCCCGCATTCAACTCTGTACTTGATTCAGTGACTCGATTTCCCTATTTGGTTCTGTAATAATAAATAATGGTAATAACGGTTCCAGCAAAAATAAAAACGGACAACAAATATCAGAATGCCGCCATAGTAACTAATATTCTACATGAAAAGAGGTATTCAATGATATATCACTTATCGCTATTGATACCAAACACCAATTGGATACCAAAATGCCCGTCCTCCTTTCGTGAAAATATATTTTTTTTTGCAAAAAATCAAAAACTAAAAACTCGGTTATTCGCATTTTTCACATAAATTTTGAGGTTATGTGAATATTCGTTAGTAGTTCCTGAGATTAGCTCGATCAAAAATAACGAAACTCTTCAGCTTTTTTTAATATTAAAGTATAGATGTTCAATCAAGTTGGAAGAATCTTTTGCAAATGCATTATCATACAAAAACCTGCAATCAAATTCAATTTAATGTGATTGAGGGTGTGCTATTTTAGAAAAAGATTGCCGCAACTTAGATACGTAGGTATATGATAGGTGTTCAATATTATCTTTACCTTCACTCTCTGACTCGCTGCTGTGAACAGCCTTTTTACTCTTTCTCTTCTTAGACGACCGCTTCTCTTTCTTTGTTTTCTTTGAGCTATCTCTAGTGATTAAGTACTTATCAGATCTCTTGGCTGAAAACAAAACAAAACATAATTTGAGTTTTTTCTTTAATTTTATAATAGGGTATTTGACAAATTCTAGAAAACGATCTCACGTTATTTTCTAATGTTTATGGAGTCTATAAAAAGTAGATATTCATCGTTCTGTTGTGTATTTCAATTAAAAAAAAAAACAATAATTTAATAAATAAGGTTGCCGCGAAAAAGTTTCTTTGGACATCATGGCGTCCGATTGGTGTGTGATGTCACACGACTGTTATTAAAACGTCAAACGATACAATGTAATGTTACTTTGACCGGAAGTTTACTAGCGTGTGAAGTCATTTTCGTCTTCGGAAATCCAAAGCGTTTTCGGTCACGCGACCATAAAACAAAAAAAAATCATTCCTTTTTCAGAAAAGTTATGAATTATTTGTTCTCCACGAATAGTAAAATCGTTGCTAATATTCATATTTAATACAGATGCCAACAATTGGTACAATATTAAATTTCATTCAAATGGCCTACTCTGACGCGCAGATTCAACCTTTGATCTTAATCAATGTGTTGTGTCATTCTTATGAGCGCGGTCAAGTTCTGGATATGGTTATTTATGGGCGTGACCAAATTGCCATCATCAAGAGCGTAGCCTAAATGAAGTCCGCTAGTTTACTTTATCATTATAAGCTTATTTGGTCACTCACCAAATGTGCACTGCTTAGTCTAATTAAAAACTAAATAATCAAATTCCAAGTTACGTACTATGTATTTGTAAGGGCACTTCGAGCGCTATCTCCGCGATCGGAATGTCCTCCTGTTGGTAGGAGCGCGGCGAATCGTCCTTCAGGTAGTGAGGGTTGTTCGCTTGCTCTTGACGCCGGGCTTCCCGTAACTGCAGGCGATAAATAACATTTCAATATAATCACTAATATAGTTACTTCTGTTCAGTAAGTAACAAGTTAGATTGCGGCCCTTGCACCAAAATCCTTAAATCCTAATAAAAATTTCCCCATCCTTTACATTCAACCTATTCGCGCGGTAATGGCATATAAAAGGGGTAACGTAAACACGTCACTCTTTTTGCCGTTGATGTTGCTGCTCGCGTTGCCCATTGATTCCCCAAAAGGTAATTTCTTGCGGACACCAGCCCCTCTAGCATCACCACTGAAACGGGATATGATAAAACGATATATCGCTTTATCATATCCCGTTTCGGTGGTCATGCTAGAGGGGCAGAGAGCTTAGTGTAACGTGACTGTCACATCATGCTCCTGCCACACCTGCGCTACGAAGCTTCGGGTGGCTTTGGTACTAAATGCGCAAAAAATTCGTTCGAAATTTTAATTAGTTCTGTCGTAATGACTTCGCGGGCTGCGTGTCTATTCGCTATGTGCACGACAGTAGCGCCACCTACAATGCGCAACTTTCCGGGATTATGCCAAATAATGACATCAGTATTTTATTGATTTCTAGTAAGTATAGTAAATTAAAGATAAATAAAAATTATTATATATTGTATAATAATTTCAATACTGTCGGTATTACAATTTGGAATTCAGCATAGTCAATAATAACTCTTGTATTGATGTAATCTGGACTGAAACACTTGGGCATTGTTGCTTGTACGGTGGCTCTATTCGGCCAAAAGATTAAATTAGCAGTTGAACAAGCTAGAGATCTGTAAGATCGAATGAAATATACGTGAGATTGTGGTTTTGTGTACACCAAATAACACACTCAATGCTGAAAATGTCAAGCCAGTTTTCATTTTTATCAAAAATATCAGAAGTCGGTCTTTAGTGAAAACTGTACATTTTTTCATAGTTAATCTTGTTAATAAAAATTCAAATTTGCTAAATGACACACCAGCAAGATCTAGGAGTTCTTGATATTTTTTTATTGATGAAATACCAACAAATTCTTGACTTTTTGTTTCGGTAGATTGATCTTCATACGATTTTTTGTCAGTGCCACAGCTTTTATCTTTCTTTCTTGAATTATTTGTCATTAAAATTCTTGATGTTGTTGCTATATCTGCTTGGATTTCAGCATCACAGTGATCACTGTAAATTAATCTAATACAAATAAAAGTTGTATCTCTTAATTTCGATTCAGAAAACATATTCACTTGACATCGTTGATCGACCATAAGAGGTTGAGTTTGATTTAATTCACTCCCTTCTTCAATTATTATTTGACTTGATGTGGTATCTAAAACTTTTGTGGTTCTTCGTTTTGTCAAGCGTGTATATCTAGCTAGGACCTGTGAATCATTAACCTTCCCCTTTCGATATATTTCAGGGAATATCGTAGGAGCATAACTCGGATTTTCTTCCTCATCTGATTTTTTGTTTCCCCTAAAATGTTCACTACCAATTGTGTCGTCAGGTTTGGGATACCATGGCGGCCCATCAACACTAAAATAATAAAGACAATAATGAATATCACATAAAATATAGCGCAAATAAAATTGATCATAATTTAAGGTTATTTCGCTTACTTATTTCTTTTTATGGCATCTATCCATTTATTTCTTTGATTTAATTTCTAGTCCAATGTAGGAAATATACACACAGACTACTTGTGCCGTTATTTTTGCAGTTCACAACACAACAACATCTATTATTAGACATTTTTTTTTATTTATTACGAACTCGGTGCAAATTGACTTTACTTTCCCGGATTGTTGCGTATTTCTGCCACGATAAGCGCTGCGATCGCTTCACTATACCCCCACCATGTACTTCGCACATAGCGAATAGACGCTAGACGATAGCTTGTCTGGCGATAATTTGATACACTAAAAGAGGTTGTGTGCAGCTGAAGGAGCGTACTTAATTCAAAGTATGAACCCTAATTTTAGAGCATTTTAGTACAAAAGCCACCCGAAGCTTCGTCACGCAGGTATGGGATAAGCTCACACATTGCTACAGTTTATCGGCGAGTCCCAACGATATTAAAAACCTTAGATACACCACGTGCGCTCAAAATGTGTCCCAATCAAGAAGTGCTTGAACACTACTTAAGCACTTCTTGGTTCACAATCACGCGCGGACCTTTGAAAAGTCAAGTAGCCGCAGAGCTCCGTGAAAAAATGCGAAAAAAATACTTATAGTATGTATGAATATAGTGTCGTTTTTACGAAAGGTATCTAATCAATGTTTGTTAAATTAACGTTTTTGAAGTAAATTTTGTTCTAATACTAAACTGATTTTATAGAAAATATTTGTGATATTCAAATGCATGGTGTAATAATAGTATCTTTCTCGCGGTCCGTACCTGCTGTATTGCTAACAGCGCATTCAGAATTGCGCATAGAATCAAATTAATAAGGTCTATATTCTTCCGCATATAGCAATAATAAGTCGTAAAATTTTACGAGTTTGCATTTCGAACTGTCAGAACTCTTTGACGCATGCGTTTTTATTAAATCCTTTTAAGGGTTTTACTATTTGAAATAATAGTCATATATAGAGGGAACACTGTAGTTTTATCTCTCACTAAAGACGGGATATTACACAATCCTTATACAACTTATCCTAGATACAAAAATATATACGTGTGAACTAAGGGGACTACAGAGGGCGACTGACTCAATCGCTCGTCGTCGCACCACACGTTCAGTAAATGCTTAGTTGACAATACTGTGTGCCTAAAACCTTATACAATATGCATTAATGGTGACTTTCAATGTTCAAATAATGCCTTATATTGTTTTTGACTATGCGATCATCTTACAGAGCTCTGTGGATCGTCCAATGTACTTTTTGGACAGGTTTCGGGCACGAGTTTGTTCGTGTTGGTGTATCTAGGGTATTTAATATCGTTGGCGAGTCCTATAAAGCAACACGTACGTAATGGCTATTTATTAAAAATAACAAGATATTTACTTTAAATGCTCCTAATCCGTGTCGCAAGTCGAAGCCGCGAATACGGCGCCTTCGCTCTCCCCTAGAGCTAAGCTCTGTCGAATTTTAGGTGACTGAGATTAAATTAGGTAATGTGGTATATTATATGTGTTCAATAGTCACCATCTGCAGTTCTTCGGGCATGAATTGCCCTCGGAACTATAGCTGCCTGAGATTATATCAGGTAATGTAGTATATTATATGTGTTCAATAGTTACCATCTGCAGTTCTTCGGGGATGAACTGTGCCGAGGGCGCGAATACGGCGATTTTGCCCTCGGAACTATAGCTGCCTAAGATTATATCAGGTAATCTACCAACTATACCACGGCGAATGTTCTGAGGAGTTATTCTCCCTTATCCTTCCATCTTCTTTTCTTCAGAGAACCACGCGCGCTGGTCTACTTTGCCACCTACTTACTGTGGCCACTATTCTTACACGAACAAAGAAATTTGGTGACTCATTTCTTTGTCCTACTATTCGTAAGTGGAATTCTTTACGTGTTCCCTCCTTCCTATAATCTGGGGTCCTTTAAGAGAGGCGTGAAGGAGCATTGTTGCAGGCCAGCAAGGTGAGGATGGTTTATGCAGCAGTTTATAACTGCTTTACCTGCTATCCTCGCATTTGGACTTTATCACCACTTAACATCAGGTGGGGCATAGTCTATGCCTACCTCGCTATAAAAAAAATGTGGTATATTATATGTGTTCTGTAGTCACCATCTGCAGTTCTTCGGGCGTGAACTGTGCTGTGGGGCGCGGGTCGGGCGCCGGGGCCGCGAATACGGCGCCTTCGCCCTCGTCCTCCGAACTAGAGCTGTCTGAAGACCATCGCTCCCGAGACATCCATTGGTCTAGGTCGAGGCTGACAACATAACACTATTATTAGGAAACATAATGGATAAATACAAAAGCAGTGAAATGTTATAATTTTATATACAAAGAAAGTAGACTCAGGTATAGACCACATATCATAAACCACAGACAAATAAACTTGCGCAGTAGACGTTTTTGTATGTACCATTGCTACTGCGCAGGCTTTCTTGTCTATGGTCGTTGCTCAAGAACTTGCCGTGATATATACAAGTCGGGATTCAAACTCACACACGCCCACCTTGTCTGGGTGCACTTTACTGTACACATATACATAGAGTAAGACGTGAGCGTTCTGTTGTTTCTTGTTCGTTCGTTGTAATGTAAACCTTGGCAGATTAGGGGGCGTTCAAGTATTACGTAACGCAATTTGGGGGGGAGGAGGGTCTTGTAAAACGATACGATGCATTACAGGGGCGGGAGAGGGGTTCGATCAACGCGTTACGTAACATTGTTTTTTATTTAAATAAAAAAAACTAGGGTATTAAAATCTCCCAAGTTGGCAACCATTTTCGTTTATGGTTTGCCAAAGTTTAGAAATTGCATTGCAAAAGATTAAAGTAAAGATGTTATTTTATTGAAAGAGATTAAAAAAAAGCTAAAATAGGAAAATGCATGAGAAGTAGGTATAATGGTGGATGAAGCCAAAAAATTACAGAGCTAAGTCAGGAAAACGGCGTATTTAAATGTTAGATTCTACTAATCTTAAGAAAAGAGTTTATAGAGACTGTGAGCACATTTAATATATTTTAAACGGAAGCAAATGTTTATTTAAATATGTGTGATTATTTATTATATAAATATACTAGCTGACCCAGCGAACTTCGTACCGCCATAAAAATAGGGACAGGTGGTAGAAGAGGAAATTTAGGGTTGTATGTATTTTTTAATACCACATTATAAAAAAAATATTGTCCAAAAAAATTTTAGTGGTGTGTAACGTAGTGTTCCATCAATTTCCTGGGATAACATTCCTCCTAACCTATATGAGAACACTACGTTACAATACCCAACAGTTTGAATTTTGGCCCGAAGGCGCATTGTAGGTTTCATAATACTACGTTACAGGTGGACAACCATTATCACTTAAGGATATGAAAAATAGGTAGTAGCCGATTCTCAGACCCACGGAATATGCATATAAAATTTCATAAAAATCGGTAAGACCATTTCGGAGGAGTATGGTAACTAACATTGTGACACGAGAATTTTATATATAAGATGAAACAATAAAATACGCATGTACTGCGAATTAGAAATCGATTGTTTTTACTATCAATTACTTCCGCAAACGCAATTAAAATAATAAGAAAAGTAATAGGATATTTGATAGTATTTAAAATAAAGTGCCAATTGTTATCACTGTGTTAAGAATGAATATTGGCAGGGGTTTTTACTATTTTTACAAAAATAATATTTATAATTTTACTAAAAACCCACGAAAAAGATAACAGTTTTTTTTTCTATTATCTTACTATCACGTGACCTAAAACGCTTGGTATTGGCGGAGCCTAAAATGACGTCCCACGCAAGTAAACTTCCAGTTAAAGTGACATTACATTGTATCGTTTAACGTTTTAATAACAGTCGTGTGACGTCACACACGAGTAAGACGCCATATTGTCCAGAAAAACGTTTTGGCGGCAACTTGAAAATGGAGTTTTTGATTTGGTTATTTTTACTGAAATACACAACAGAATGATGAATAATAGTAAAAAGTAAAAAATGGTCAGTTGGGTGTTACGTGACGTTTAAGGGGGGGGGGACAGGAAAACGTTAAGGCGCGTTACATCGGGGAGAGGGGGGGTCAAAAATCTCCCTCCCTCCCTTAGTGTGAGATCTCCCTCCCTCCCTTAGTGTGAGAGAGACGAAGCGATAGTTCAAATAGATTTTGGCTGCATCATCGCTTTCTTTATTTCTATAGAATTGTCGTAGTCTCTCTGTCTGTGTCTCGATCTATGTCTATGATTACACATAATTTTTTACATGATAGTCAAAAAGTGTATTACTTAAAAGCAAATACTTACTCAGCCGGCATGGGGACTTTCTTCTGCGCTTTAGGCGCCACCGGCTTCAGTTCGCCGTCGAATAGATCTACGAGCTCCTCTATGAGGCCGCCACTGAATGCCTTTGATGATGTATCTTCCCCGTTCATTTCGTGGTCTACGAGCTCAGTATCCAAGCCATTACTGTGAACCAAGAAAACTTTTAAATAACAATAGGCTATTTGACAGTATAAAAATTAAGTACCAAATGTATTTAATATGAATATTAGCAACGATTTTACTACTTTGAGAGAAAAAATAATCAATGACTTGTCTATAAATCATTAAATTGACCAGTTTTTTTTGTCATATGGTCATATGACCGAAAATGCCTGGGATTAAAATGACGTCACACGCTAGTAAACTTCCGATCAAAGTGATATTAAATTGTATCGTTTGTCGTTTTAATGACAGTCATGTGACGTCTCATACCAATAAGAGGTCGTAATGTACAGAGAAACGTTTTCGCGGCAACTTGAAACGATTTTTTTATTTAGTTGTTTCACTGAAATATACAACAGAACTATAAAAAACCACTTTTGATGAATGCCATAATTATTAGTTAATAACGTGAAATCATTTTTTTTTTAATTTTCCAATACCCTATAGTTTACAGACAGTGCTCATTCTGAGACAAATTGTAGAAAAGGCCAGAATACTTCAATTATATATTGAATTTAACATCACACTACGTGTTTCGTTGGCATTAGGAAAGCCTTCGATACGGTCAAATTCTGGAAATTGTGGTTGATACTGACGGATATGGAGGTATCGCTGCACCTTATACACCTCATCAGACGGTCATACGAAGATGGTACTGCAGCTGTCCGAGTCGACGATATTCACTCTGAGCACTTCAAAACACGGGCCGGTATAAGACAGCGTTGTACATTGTCTCTAGCATGGTACAAATCCTTGTTCTTTCAAATTAGTACCGGACTGAAATCCTTTTTTTTATTATCTAACCGCGGACTAAATACAATTTTGTTTACTTTACCTCGTGGTCATCCCTATTTCATTTCATACCTCTGATGGTCTAACAGCGCCTCATCCGCGGGGCTGAGCTGCCGTAGTACTAGTTCGAGCAACGCGTGAGCGTTGTGCGCGCGCTCTTGCACCTCCATATCTTCGCTGCACAGCAACGGTCGTAAACCAGCTAGTGCTTCGCGGAGTACCTTTTCAACACAAACGACGCTCACATTATTATCAGTGTTGTGACAGCTTGTAAGAAAAATAACATCTACTAATTTGCCCTTACAGTTTTGGTTTATGCAAAAAATTTTTTTTTCGAAACAAAAAATTACCTCTGTGGTGATGGGGTGTGGGTGACTCACGAGAGAAATCACGACGAGCGTTCAATGTGATATCAACATTTAATCAACTTAACCTACATCTTATATACTATTTACAACGTGCTTAGGCTTAGATACCTAATCGTATCAGGGAAGTGTTATCAACACGTAACTAGAGGACGTGATTTACACTTCACCACACCTCCCCTGAAACGTTAGGCGTCCCTCCCCTGAAAAGGAAGACCCTAAACCAGTGGTTCTCAAACTTTTTAAATGACGGAACCCTTTTGGGAAGCAAAATACTTGATGGAACCCTACAATAAAACAATTATTTTTATAAGTGTATTCTATATTAATCAGCATAATAAAAGTACAATGTATCCGTTACTAATTATTATTTACTTCACCACTTGGTAAGGACAATAATAGAAAACATTAAAAAAGAAAAAATCTAACTAGTGGGAGGTATGAAACTGTTTTTTATTTTTCATCAATTGCTTGATATCAGGTTTGATGGAAGAAAGTTGGAGTCTCATATCAGCTTCGGCGTCCAGTCTATTGCGATATTTTGTTTTCGTGGCTGCGTAGGTAGAGAATCCTGTTTCGCACAAATATGTAGTTGGGAACGGGAGAAGAATATCCAGAGCCATTTGGCCAAGCATTGCATATTCATCTTGGATTCTGCACCAAAAATCATTAAGAGGCGTCGTTTTGAACAATGACTCCATACTTGTGTCTGATGACATTTCTAAAAGAGATTCATATATCTCATTTGACATGTTTTCAGGCTTTTCCAAGTTGGGTAAAAAAGGATTATGAATCCAGGAGTTCACTTTAATTTTTGTATTGTGTTCTTCGGGAAAATACTTTTCAAAAGATGCGCGCATCGAACTGAGATATTGGACCAATTCTTCAAACACATTATCTTCAAACATTTCTGAGTCGTTTTCGCTAACAAACTCAGTGAGTAACGTAAAACTTTCTATTTCTTTCTTACCAATGCAAATGATCCAAAAATCTAATTTTCTTTTAAAAGTAGTTATTTTATTATAGGCCTGAAACACTGTTGTCTGTTTACCTTGCAATGATAAATTTAATTCGTTAAGTTTTTGAAAGATATCCGCCATAAAAGACAATCGGAACAACCAAGTTTTATCATACAAACGGTCCTTCAAATTAAAAGAAGTATCTGCTGAAAGAAACATTTGTAACTCGGCTCTAAGTTCAAATAGCCTTGTTAAAGTTTTTCCCCGAGACAGCCATCGCACTTCTGTATGGAGCAGCAGTGTTTTATGTTTGCTGCCATAATCTTCACACAATAATGAGAACAATCGGGATTGTAGTGGTCGTGATTTGATAAAATTAATTATTTTTACCGCTTCATCCATAACTAATTTTAGATTAGACGGCATTTGCTTCATCGCAAGTGCTTGTCTATGCAGAATACAATGACTGGAACTACAATTAGGCGCTTTATTTTTCATTCGTGACACTGCTCCTGCTGTTTTACCTGTCATCGCCTTGGCCCCATCTGTACAAATGTCAATGCAATTGTTCCAACTGAGATTATGTTCTTCAAAAAATATATTTATTTTATTAAAAATTTCTTCCCCGGTAGTGTTTGTAAGCAGCGATGAACACATAAGCATGTCTTCTTCAAAAGAACTTTTATATGGATATCTCACAATAACCAGCAGGATAGCCAAACCAGCGACATCAGTCGACTCGTCCATTTGCAAAGCGAATCGTGTATTTTGTAGACGTGTAACTAGTTCTTGTTTGACGTAGCTTGCCAGATCATGGATTCGTCGTGAAACAGTATCGTTTGATAGCGGAACAGTAGAAAGATGCTTTGCAGATTTTTCATCAAGCATACATTTTGTTATGTCTAATACACATGGTTTTATTAATTTCTCAGCGATAGTGTGCGCTTCACCTGCTTGTGCAATGCGATAGCTAACTAAGTATGATGCCTCCGTGGCCTTTTCGTTGGTAGTTTGTGTTACATGCATCATATTTTTTTGACTTTCTAATAACTGATCTTTTTTGCGAACAAAAAATTCTTTATTCTTGTCTTTAGTCTCGGGGTGTACGGTTTCTAAATGTCGACGCAATTTGGCAGGTGCCATGGAACTATTAGGAAGCAGTTTACTACAGAGCATGCAGAGAGGTGAGCCGTTGGAATCAACAAATCCGAAACTGATATAAGATTCATCATACTTCCTTTTTTTCGTCTTTGAAACCGTCGAGCTTGACGTCGTGGCACTCGTGGCATCATCTTCTGGATCGGTGATTGCTAAATTCTCCGCGCGCATTGCTTTTGAACATTCAGCGTCATTAGAAGATGTTGTTGGAACACGTTTAACACCTTTAAGCCAACGTTCCATTCTTCTTTATTTATAATGTTACAAGTCAGGATAGTGGGGTTTAAATAATGCACAATCGTTACTGCGTATAAGAGACTAAATTTAGAACCTACAGGGAAGAAATGTATAAAACTGAGACAACAGAATACAGCAGGCAGTAAAACAATGAACACCAGTTTCTCGCTAGCGAGCTTGTAAGTAGGTAGTAACTTATCGCTCCGAACGCTAATCATCAACTGACGACGCCAACGCGCGATCGCCGCTTTTATACTTAGTCCTAGACTCGATCTCAAATATTCTCGAAAATACTCGAGTCGGCACCTTTGATAAACAAAAAGCAAAAATAAAAACAGAAATTTAAAAATAGCGTTGTAAACAATATCGACTTTATCCTTTGAAGTTAGAGACGAAAGTCGCTAGTTGACAACTATAGCGTCTAATTCAGAGGCGGCTTTTATCAAAGAGACTGAGCGCTTACAAGTATACTACCCGCTCGTTTTAAGTTTGCCGCTGGCGATAGGTATGAGTGTATGACGTTCGAAATTTTTTATTTAATTGTAACAATAAAAATTGTGTACGTTAGATATTTGGGTAAAACTATGACACATTATAAGTTTTGTTGTCACGTGGGGGAGGGTACGCGCATTCCACAGACCGGCAAACTTAGAGCGAACGCGTTGTACAAGTATAAAATTGTTGAGACCAAACTTATGAGATATTGTACCAGCTAATGTAACACAAGCTTATACAAATACAAATAAATAAATAAATAACATTCATAGCGTTTTGTCTCCGCGCGGCCGCGGAGTCCGCACAGCCGCGGAGCGACCAGAGAGAGGTGTTTTGATTTTTTTATTTCTAAATTCTTGCGGAACCCCGACAGAGGTATCACGGAACCCTAGGGTTCCGCGGAACACACTTAGAGTATAGCTGCCCTAAACACTTTTCTTCTATGTTTTATCATATGTAACTCGATTAATAACATATTTTAAAAAACAACATGTTAAAATCCTTTTTAAGAGATTCACTAATCTCATATATATATAACTTAAATTATTTCATTTACTTTATTAAAAAATACCTTAAATTTTATACAAACAAATTATTATCAAAACAAATCCTTACTATAATTACTAAACAATTATTTACGTTGATTTTTAACAAAAAAAACATTACATATTAGAATTTTACATTTTTATTGATCTATTCCAACATCAAGTTGGTTGTATCTCTTCCTAAATAGCGTATCTTGAAAATAATTATTTATTTTGCTAATAAAATATTTCTTATTACGCTTATTTGTATAATAAATATTAGATAAAATACTGTCATTGCTTGAGCTTTCAGGCTCATTCGTATTATATTTATTAACAACCTCTTTTAAGACAATTTTGCCATTTTTATCTTTCGAATCACTTTTTACAATTAATATGGGTAATACAACGTTATATTTCTCCTTAAGTTACTAAAACTTTTAACCCATTTTTCATTAATTATTATCAAACCTTTTATCTGTAAATGCTTACAAAGCAATTCAACATCTTTCGCTAGTCTTTTCTCTTCTAGGAATGACACAGACTTTATATACATTTCACATTTTAAAGGTGCATAAACACATAAATTATATTTAGAATGCATATACTTCTTATTGTCTATGTTGTCATTAAAATACTCTTTAACAATTACGTTTACATAAGTACTAGCTTTTACATAATCTGCTTTAATTGCAGGGAACTCTTTCTTAGAGTTATCATTAGACATTGTGATCTCGTCAATTGCGAACATATTTTCCTTTCGTATTTTATAAGAAGCTTTTCGCTTTTCCTTACATTGGTTAGACTTAATTAAGTTACCTTTGCTTTTACTTAGCAACTTATTTTTACAACATACATCTTTTTCTAAAAAAAATTCGTCTAACTTTAAATCATAACGTAGGGGTGACCCCCTACATAATGATATTAGGATAAAGGAAGAAAGACAACTGTTACTGTTGAATGCATGATGAGCATTGATTTATTAAGAAAATAAATGTTTTTATATACCTAATACAATGACGTAATATGATGCATTTCTTAGATACATCTACGTGATTAAAGTAGGTTATGCTTGCTCTGCAGATATACAAGATTACTGTACGTGACTCGTACATATTGCCAATTTAAAAGAAAAGTAAAACAAACAATGATACAATACCAGAAATCTTATACATATTCACATCAAAGTGCATGATTACAAAATGTCAAAATATCTAAACAAACTATACATTTAATTGATCTACCTTATGAAGAACTCCAAATTTGACAAATAGGTATTTATTCAACTTGATTTGATTCTGATAAGATTTTGTATGTGTATATAAACCAAAATTATGTGTCGTAAAAGCCATTTATTTGCATGATACATAAGCCTGTGCTGGCTCGAAGGTGCTCCCTTTTCTATTCCTCATGATAGTGTTTACTGAATTAATAACCTACAATTATTCGATTTTATCATTTACCTAAATAATCTTTAGGAGTA